CAGGCTCCCACGCCGTCTGCTGCAGCCCTCCAGGCTCCCACGCCGTCCGCTGCAGCCCTCCAGGCTTCCACGCCGCAAGCAGTGTTCCCTTGGGCCCTGTGTTTTGGACTGCCTCCCGGCCGCCCCCCTGAACGTGGGTCCCGTGATGGACGGCCTCCTGGCCGCCCGCCCGACCTCTGGCCTGCTGATGGATGGTCATCAGGACGCCCCCCGGATCCTCTGTCTTGTTGTGGAAGGTCTCCTGACCGCTCACCTTGACCAAGGGGGGTTTCTGGTTTTCTGTGTTTTCCCAGGTTCCTACCTGTCGGCTTTTCTTTTGTTCCTTCTGTGCCCTACTTCTTTCCTTTGGTGTTCTACTTTGGGATTTCAGGGGCCATCCCTTGAGAGGGGGGTCCTGTAGGGTTTCTGGGGTCTTGTCTTACATGTTGTGTTTTCCCTCATGTTTGCCTGTCACCCCTCAGCTTTTCTCCTCCTGTGTTCCAGCACTGTTGCACCTGTGTCTAATTCTAATCACCGCAGGTGTCACTCATTTCACCTTGTTTGTGTCTGTATATATTCAGCCTCTTGGTGTCTTGTCAGCTCTGGATTGTCCTTTTCCTAAGGCTTCATGACCTGTCTCTCCTGTGTGTCCTCCTTTGAGTAAGTTTGCTGCCCCGACAGCATTTTGTTTTGTTTATTTAATTAAATAAACTATTTTACTTATTTACTGGAGCTTCATTCATCTTCCTGCACTTTGGGTCCCCACACACGGAGCCGATCATGATAGCATCAAGTAAAAGTACATTACATTTTATGCACTCGGTTTTTTTTTTTGGTTTTTTTTTCTTTACATTTTAACTACTACAGACTTTGTGCTTTACAGTATATATAACACAAAGTGTGAAGATTGGAAAAATGTACTAATGTACCAGAAGTACTATTACCAGTAGTAATTACAACACTGACATAGCTTGATATTTATCAAAACATTCATCAATCAGGACAAGGGGGCTTTGACTTTTTGTTTGTGCAACTTTTATACTTTAATATATTTACCGTATTTTTCGGACTATAAAGCGCACCGGATTAAAAGGTGCATAAAGCAAAACAAAACAGTCAGATAAGTCCACATATTGTACCACATAAAATCTCTTTGAGGTCAATAAGCACAACCAGAATTAATACATGAGGCACACTGGATTATAAGGCTCACTGTGGATTTTTGAGAAAATTAAAGTATTTTAAGTGTGCCTTATAGTCTGGAAAAAAAACGGCAACTTTATTTGCAATTTTTTTTTTTATCTCTATTGAACTTGCAGAAAGAAAATGAAATAAAAATGACTTGTTTTTATTGCTCTGTGCTAATTTTGTCCTCCAGGTGATTCTGGTGCCGCCTGCTTTGGCTCGTAAGAGGGTGTGGAACAAGAAGTATCCCATCTGCATCACCCTGGCCGAAGGGGAGGTGGGGGAGGAGAGTCAGGTCGAAGGACTGAAAGAGGGAAAGAAGGCAGAGAAACCCTGGGGCCCGGGCGACCAGGATCCCGTCACCCTCTACCTGTTTGGTCGCACTGGGCGAGAAAAGGAGGAATGGTTCCAGCACTTCCTGTCAGCCTCCAAAACTGAAGCACAGAGCCACCTGAGCGACGAGGAGAACACTGGTACAGAGGAGGCTTGTAGTTATTTCAGTATTTATCTGGTGGAAACTTTAGTTTAGTTTATATAAAGGTCAGTCTGTGTCCCTCAGAAACACAGAGCGGGGCAGAGGCTGCTAAGGAGAGCACAGAGGAGCTGCTCGAGTTGCCGAACAAAACAAGAACGCTGTTGGACTACAACGCCTACATGACTCAGCTGATGGGACCAGAAAGATGGAATCCCACCTCCAGCCCCTGCCACAGCAACAAAGGAAGCCCCTCCACCTGCACAAAGGTCTGTGAGCTTGCATTCAGATTCAGCTCCATAATTATATGACTCTTAACATCGTTCTGCTCAGATCAGTGCGTTGTGTTTCACTCGCCGCAGATTCACGCGGAAGACAGGGGTTCAGGGGGTGAAGCTGGAGGTGACGCAGGTGGAGCGTCTGAGTCAGGTGGACACCCTGCAGAATGTCAGCCCTCCTGGGTGAACTCCCTGGTGGGGAGGATTTTCTGGGACTTTCTCCGGGAGAAATACTGGTCCGATCAGGTGGCTCACAAGATCCAGAAGAAACTTGGCAAGATCAAGGTGAGACTGTGTGTTTCTTTTTAACATTTAGTTCCCCGGTCAAAAGACTTCACAGCAGTTACAGCAACACTGCAACTCTCGATTACATGTGTCTGCTGATAATGCATTCCACCAGCAGCAACCCATTACTCATTCTTTGCCTTTTTTCACTCACACCATCCATTTTAGTCTGCCTCATGCACACACACACACATTCTGCAGCTATCCCCTCAAACATATTTTTTAGAGAATAATTAGCTTCCTCCATGAGTCTTTTTGTGAAACGGCCTCACTACGTCGACTCATGGAATCCTCTTCTTGTCATTTAGTTACCGTACTTCATGAACGAGCTGACTCTGGCTGATCTGGACATGGGCACCTGCCTTCCTCAGGTTTTAAGCACCTCGAAGCCTACGCTGGACCGCAGAGGTACACAGAAATAAGAACGGTGGCAGCAGATGAAAAGAAAAACGTTCGGCAACTTCCTGCAAACGGATTGCACCAAATAGGCTGGGATTTTAATCTGAAAAACCAAACTGTCTGGAAGATTAAATAATCCCCAACAGGAAATGGGCAGAATGAAGGTCGACAGGCTGGTAGAGGGGAATAAAAATCTTAATTCTTCCCAAAAATAAACTGTCCAGATGACATGATTTAACTTTTTTGTGATTTATTTACCTGGATGGTTGAGCCATACTTACTCTTTTTGAAAAGCTTAATTGTTGCTCAGGATAACAACGTGGAAACGGGGACGCCTCGCATAAAAAACCAGCTGTGATCTTATCAGAAATGATTTCTATAACTGTGGTGTAATAAAAAAAGCTTTAGTCAAGTCAGCTTTTATTTATAAAGCACATTTAAAACAGCAGCTCCTACCAAAGTGCTTAGCAGTAAATGTAATTACACCAAATTAAAGTGTAACTGATCTAATGTCTCTTCAGCCACAACCCTGTGCCTGGTTGACTCACCTGAAGACTTTGGCTCGAGCTCCAAACCACCAAACTCAGAGTTTAAATCACAGTTCATTAAAACCAAAGTGCTGCGGCTAGCTGTTAGCATCCAGTTTCCCCTCTGCTTAGAGTGGAAGCTCAGACTTTTTGAAGAGGGATTTTGTAGAAAGGTAATGAACAGTTAATATCTTACCTGTCGTAGATAGCTCTTTGAGCAACCTCAGTTTGGAACAAAGGGGATGAGCTTTGACCAGATTGAAGCTAGCCGTGAGGCCGACACCTACGCCTAAGTGGGTCGCTGCCGTTTTGAAACGACTTCAGTCTCAAACACTTCACATCACTTCATGAGAATTCTGATTTGTAAAACCTTTACATTCACGTTAGTTTTATTTAATCTGTTCATTATGATTATTATGATTATTTGCAAACACAAGCAGCAGCAGGAGCAGCACGCTGGTTCCTAAGGAATTTCCTGCTGAAATTTTAACAATTTTCTGTGTATTGCAAATTGAACAATACTGTAAAAGTTGTGTTTTCACTCAGCACAATGAATACTGGGATATTGGAGTTGTTTTAAGGCTGCAGAAATCCACTTTGTTCTTCGTCCTGCTCAAATTAGTCATTAGCTTGCTATTCCAGTTAGTAATAAACTCCTTCTCCAAACAGCTGACATATTATTTGTTCATCATCTATCCATAGAACCCTGCTTCAAAAGGGCCGAACTGTCCCTTTAACTCTGTTCTCTCGCTGTGTCTCAAAGGCCTGTGGCTGGAGCTGGAGCTGGTGTACACAGGTTGCATTCAGATGACCCTGGAGACGAAGATGAACCTTTGTAAGCTGGGTAAAGAGGGAGAGGGGGAAACTCACAGCATTCCTGAAACTCTGCTAGTGGGGTGAGGCCTGTTTTAGCTCTTTGGTGGATGAAGATGTGGCAAACTTGCATCATGTTTATGAACTCACAGTTTCTAGTACCGTATTTTTTGGCCTGTAAGTCTTAAAATCCTTTAATTTTCTCAAAAATCGACAGTGAGCCTTATAATCAGGTGCGCCTTATGTATTAATTCTGGTTGTGCTTACTGACTTCGAACCAATTTTATGTGGTTATCGTGAATGAGTTGAATAAAGTTTGACTTATCTGACCATTTTGTTTCACTTAATGCACCTTATAATCTGGTGCACCTTATAGTCCAAATAATATGCTAATGTGTACAACTGGTGTGTTTTCCAGCTCCAAGCCGAGGGTGTGCGTATTAGCAGACAGTGATGAGGAGTCTTCCAGTGCAGGATCCTCGGATGAAGAGGAAGTTCTCTTGTCTGAGCCACAATCAGTGGGAGAGAAAAACACCCCAGTAGCTGCTGATGGGTAATTTAACGTTACTTGTGTTTATATTAAGGAGATGAATGAATTACAGCTCATACGAAATGAAAGTACACCCTGGTGAGGTGAAGTGATGGAGGTGGTCTTTATCTTCTACAGGCACACAGGTGGAAGTACAGGCAGGAAAATCCTGAGATTTGTGGACAAGATAGCAAAATCCAAGTACTTCCAGAAGGCCACAGAAAATGATTACATCAAGAAGAAGATAGCTGAGGTGTCCAACGTGCCCCTGATGCTCAGTGTTGAGGTCTTGGAGCTTTCTGGAACTTTGGCCATCAACATCCCCCCTCCTCCCACCGATAGGATCTGGTATTGACCTTTACCTTCTCAGTTTAAAAACCACCAAGATATTTGCGGCAAGCTGCATGTTTTTTGTGCTCTTCACCGACAGGTACAGTTTCCAAGTTCCTCCCAGGTTAGACCTTCATGTGCGCCCAATGCTCGGGGACAGGGAGGTCACCTTCACGCATGTGACCGAGTGGATAGAGAAGAAACTGCAGTGTGAGTTCCAGGTGGGTCCGTCCGTTTGATCAAACCAAACTGGGATGAGTCACTAACCTTGACACTAGCCACTACGTTTATTGTGTTTTCTTGTGCTGCTCAACAGAAAGTGTTCGTCATGCCCAACATGGACGATCTGTATTTGCCTCTGATGACACCGGGCCAGGACAACTCGCCAGCATCCCAGCGTTCCTCGGTGCACTCCTCATCCCACCTGTCCTCCATGGAGTCTCAGGAGAACCTGTTGGAGTGGGCTCACTCTGAGGCCACAAACATCAAGTAGTTGTTGTGCAGCGGCTTGCTGTTGATCCTGAATGGGGTTAATGGTAACCAGTGCAGGACTGAGGCCTCCTGAGCTCACACTGAGCTCCACACTGTGGGAACATGGGGGAACTAAAACAGTGCACCCTACTGGCAAGTTTTTCATGACGAAAAAAGTGTTGCTTGGTTGCAAACCTGAAAAACAAAATGTATTCCCTGCACAAAACAAGGTGCTACTGATAACCGTTCATTTAAAGAAATGCTTGAACATCTTTTTTCATCCTTCCATCTTCTGCTCCTTTGTGCAGGAGTGTAATGTTGATGGGCAGCACAGTGGCACAAATGGTAGAGCCGCTGCCTCACCCTGGTTCAAATCCTGGTCTAGGGGCCTTTCAGAGTGGAGTTTGCATGTTCTCTCCGTGCATGCGTGGGTTTTCTCCAGGTACTCCGGTTTCCTCCCACAGACCAAAAACATGCATGTTAGGCTAATTGGTAACTCTAAATTGTCCCTAGTTGTTTGTCTCTGGACTTGCGATCTGTCCAGAGTATCCCTCGCACAGTGATGACTGGACATGGGCACCAGTGACCCCCGCAACCCAAAAAGGAAGAAGTGGGTAAAAGAATGTGATTGTGGAAAAATATCCCGATAAGCACTTTATGTTTAAACAAGTGACCATGTTGAATGACATTTGTTGGATTTCTCTGTGAAAAATAAAAGCAATTTTAAAAATTTAACATGTTTTTTTTTTATTGAATTAATTTTTAAAGATGGTAAAGTTCATATGCTGACATTCAGCTACACCAGTTAGCTTTATGTGAGGCCCCTGCTGTCAAACCAGAAGATGTTATTAAAAGAACATGTTTTTAGATTTAAATTAGCAAAAGACTTTTATTTTTCTCTCACCATAAAAGGTCTTTTTCTCCTGAGAAGTTTGACTGAATTAAGTGTGGTTTTAATGAGCCTGAGCTCAATGGCTCATCAAGAACAAACAGATGTTTAAATTATTTGGGTTGAACTTAGATAGAGATATCTGAAATCATGAGGGGTAACAGATTTACAATGTAGGCTGTTTATAAGTTTTGAAGCTTATCTTTGAAAATCAAACTATGCCTTCCTTTAACCATAATAAAATCACTGATCAACATAGTTGTTATATACAACAGATTCCATGAGGTCATTATGTATTAAACATGAAGACAAAGAGAAAAAGTTTTTTTGTGAAAAACTATGAATCAGTAACTTAAAAAGCACTTGGCAGTGATGATGCTCACTGGTTGTTTTCTGTATGATTTTATAACTCTTCTTTACAACAGTTGTTGTTGGTAACTTTTTTTATGCCATACAATATTTTTGTGATTGGGAATCACGCTCTTAAGCCTCCCTGGTTAGGTCTATTCGGGGGTTCTGGAGAGGAGGGTCCGTCGGATAGTCGAACCTCGGATTCAGGAGGAACAGTGCTGTTTTCGTCCTGGCCGTGGAACACTGGACCAGCTCTACACTCTCAGCAGGGTCCTGGAGGGTGCGTGAGAGTTTGCCCAACCAGTCTACATGTGCTTTGTGGACTTGGAGAAGGCGTTCGACCGCGTCCCTCGGGGGGCCCTGTGGGGGGTACTCTGGGAGTATGGGGTACTGGGCCCTTTGATACGGGCTGTTAGGTCCCTGTATGACCGGTGTCAGAGCCTGGTCCGCATCGCCGGCAGTAAGTCGGGCTTGTTCCCGGTGAGAGTTGGACTCCGCCAAGGTTGCCCTTTGTCACCGATTCTGTTCATAACTTTTATGGACAGAATTTCTAGGCGCAGCCAAGGTGTTGAAGGGATCCGTTTTGGTGGCCTTAGGATTGCGTCTCTGCTTTTTGCAGATGATGTGATCTTATTGGCTTCATCAGATCGTGATCTACAGCTTTCGCTGGAGCGGTTCGCAGCCGAATGCGATGCGGCCGGGATGAAGATCAGTTCCTCCAAATCCGAGGCCATGGTCTTGAGCCGGAAAAGGGTAGAGTGCCCTCTCCGGGTCAGGGAGGAGGTCCTACCCCAAGTGGAGGAGTTCAAGTATCTTGGGGTCTTGTTCACGAATGAGGGAAAAATGGAGCGTGAGATCGATAGGCGGATAGGTGCAGCGTCTGCAGTGAAGCGGACGCTGTACAGGTCTGTCATGGTGAAGAGAGAGCTGAGTCAAAAGGCGAAGCTCTCAATTTACCGATCGATCTACGTTCCCACCCTCATCTATGGTCACGAGCTTTGGGTTGTGACCGAAAGAATGTGAGATCTCGGATACAAGCGGCCGAAATGAGTTTTCTCCGCAGGGTGTCTGGGCTCTCCCTTAGAGACAGGGTGAGAAGCTCGATCATCCGGGAGGGACTCGGAGTAGAGCCGCTGCTTCTCCACGTCGAGAGGAGCCAGTTGAGGTGGCTCGGGCATCTGTTTAGGATGCCTTCTGGACGCCTCCCTGGTGAGGTGTTCCGGACACGTCCCACCGGAAGGAGGCCCAGAGGAAGACCCAGGACACGCTGGAGGGACTATGTTTCTCGGCTGGCCTGGGAACGCCTCGGGATTCCCCCAGAAGAGCTGGCCCAACAAGTGGCTGGGGAGAGGGAAGTCTGGGCCTCCCTACTTAGGCTGTTACCCCCGCGACCCGACCCTGGATAAGCGGAGGAGAATGGATGGATGGATGGACAATACTTTTGTCAGCAACTATAACCCTATTTGCACAAAAATCTTATTAAATACAAAAATTAAGCTAGTTTTTCATGCAGTAATCTTAATACTTGAAGGTGTGTTGTTATATTCAGTAATCGTTTCAAAAGAACGTTTTTTTAATGAATAACAGCAACACTGCAAACAGGAAAGATTTCACTTCATCAAGCATTTCCACTGAAAACATATGACTAATATTAAAAAAAGACAAATAAATAGAATTTTGTGACAATGTTTGCATTTTCCAGGTCAATTTTAATATACTGTACATATGTATCAAATAAATAAAATCAACAAACTATAGATTTGTAATGTTGTGAGTCTAGTTTTATTCACCTATTTTGCTATATTATTTAATTTCTGTATCTTACATTGTTGCTCATTTTGCTAAAAGTGAGCTATTTTGTTTGGTAAGGTGTTTTTGTAACGTGGAATGTTAAAAATAAAAATATAGAATAAAATATAGAAAAAAATAAACAAAAAGGAGCTCTTTACCACCACCTACAGGATTTTTGCGGTACAACAGTTCTGTTTTTGTATTGAACGTTTTTTTGAATACAACTGTTCAATCTCAACTTTACCTCTGACCCTCATGTTTAAAATATGTTGTGCTCGACAAAATATTGTTTAATTTATTGCTAAATATTATTTTTACACGTGACAATCGTTTGTAAGTAAGTTAAACCGTATTTTGCGAGGGTTTTTTACGTTTTAATTTGCTGACCTCTAATGCGCCATTGAGTTCGTGTCTACTGCGCATGCGCAACCTCGAAAAGGAATTGTCGAGGTCGAGTCGTTTGTTCTCTGTATTTTGGGAGGTTAAAAACGAAGCAAACATGCCTATAGATTACGATAAAGATGTATATCCAGAGACTCCACGCAAGACTCCGATCGTCAATAAGCAGACAATGCTTCCAAACCCTGCTATTATCATGAGTAAAATATTTTATTACGCCGTGGACTTGCCTGTCACCATGTTCAGAGGTAACGGGAGCTAACCATGCTAACGATTAGCTCAGAAACACTGCACCAACGCGTTCCCTTTTAGGGCAAATGTTTACACGTCATAGCTCTTATTACTTTACATTATTTATTTCACAGTCACTGTAAGCTTTGTAATGTTGCGTTTTCATACTCGGGCATAACAAACCGCGGTGCCGAACGGCCTAGACTGCTTATTTATCCGTGCTCCAAGTCCTGTTTGGTTGTTTGTCCAGATACTATTGACAGCATTCAGTCGAAAAACAAGCTGGTCTACTACCACCGGGTGTACCGTCGTGTTCCTGACTTCACAGAGTGCGAGGAGGGAGATTTCACCTGCTACTATGAAGCTGATATGCAATTCCACAGAGATTTGTGAGTAAAACTGACCTGAAGTCAGTCAGACGTCCACTTACTGACAAAAAAACAACAACAACCTCATTATTCTGAATGAAATGATGAGCCCCAACCTTTGATTGTTGTGTTTACACTTAAAATGATGATATATGTTCTATATATACACATAGGATTTGAGAACATGGAGAAATCTTTGTTTTTATGCTCTGCAGTTAGTTTTTATTTAAAAAACAAAAGATATTTTTACCCAAAAATTCAGTACCTGAAAATGTCTGAATGAGGCCCTGTTTACATGACAACGATCCAATGAAAACTGAATTGTTTTCCCATTTCTTTTAACACATTTACATGAAAACGTTCCAGTTACAGCAACGGTAAACATGAAAAAGGTGTAATTCCCTTGCCACGCCACTAGTTGGTGCTCTGCCCTTTGAAACTTGAAGTGCGCGTTCCTGAAAGAAAAAGTTCTAATGTTTCTCTGACGAGAAAACCGCCATAACAAAAGCCCAAAGTGACTGAAAGCAGTCCGGGGAAATTAGATTTATAAGGGTCAGAAGCACGAACAATACTCTGGTATCCACCATTGTCAATAGTTTCTTCTTCTGTGGATTATAGGAAGCCGTTATGGTTTGTGTCATACTGCGCACGAGCCGGGGATTTCCTGACATAAAATAACTATTTTTTTCTGTTTACATGACGACCGACATCAGAGCGTTTTTGAAACCCTGCACTTTGGAACCCGTTTTCAATTTGGACGGTTGTCAGAGAAAACATTTGACTGTTTTCGTGTAAATGAACAGTACAAACGCAGCAAAACTTCCGTTTTCACCAGAAGTCGTTTTTGTGTTCCTGGAAAATCTTGCAGTCTTTAAAAACAACAAATACACTCATGTACTAAGATGAATGTCCATTAGAATTGGATCAAAACTCTTTCAGATGCAGCTTAAAATGATAACGTATATAATACCAATTTTGTTCAAATCAGCTGAGAATAAGAAGTTATGGCACTTTTATGGAAATCAAAAGACAAATTTCTCTAAATGACCCTGTCAGATTATCCTGACTCCGAGGCATCAAAAAACACTTTCAGGTCAACAAATTGTCGTGAAAGTTGCTCAGAATTCCTACTTTCCTTTTAACGAATCCTACATGTCCACTGTGTGGCTTTTGATCGTTGCAATCTGAACCAAATGTGTGAACTCACCTGTTCCAGTGATCGGTGATTGTAACTTACTTACTGAAGTAGAGATCAGGATATTTGTCTAGGTGTTACGTTGAATATTTGACATATGCAGTTAACACAATGTCAACAATGCAATGAAATGTTCAGGATGAGAAGATTTGACTCGCTAAAAACAAACAAAAAAAAAACAGAAATACTAAGGCATGCAATAAGGGTACAAAATACAAAAGGTGAAAAAGAAATATATTTACAAGGTCCAAAAGAAATGTCGTAAACAACAACATGGTAGAATATAACAGTGCAAGTAGGATGAATTCGTATTATATTTCACAGGTGGTAATGTAAGCTTAAATGCACCATATATATTGCACATACCGGCAACTAACTTATACTACTAGATTAGATTAAGTTTGGCAAATAGATCCTGTCTGTAAATAGGTTTGTCTCTAAATGCAAAATCCAAATATGTTGTTTTTCTAGTATAAAGTGAAAATTCTTGCTATGAAGTCTGAGCATACGTCAAGGTCCAAACCTGCGAGCTTTAGATCTGAGGACGTATTTAAGCTGGTTTCTAAACTAACTTTTAGCACAGCTTGGCCAAATGAAAGTGAGATTTTTTTAGAGCAGACTGCCTCCTCTGTTTGAGTACAGGAAGTGTTTCAGGTCAATTAGTCTCTCAGACATCATTGTGTGGTGGTTGTCTTCACTCCACAGAATCGTGGATAGGACGATTGTGAATGTGATACAGGAGCGTTTGCATCAGTGCGTCCAGAGAGAAGGGGACAGTGCCCTACAGAACTGTGCCAAGGAAAGACAGCAGTTTGAAGACGTGACCAAAAACTACAATCTGTGCTGTAAGTCCCGTGCTGCCAAGAAGCCCCAACCTTATTCCAAGTGACGTTGGCTTTGTTACTCAGGATAAACGAGTGGTTTACACTGACATCTTTAATTTCCCTTTTCTTTTCCCAGATGGAGAATTGGGGGCAAACAGGAATGCGAGGAAATGTCTGATGAAGCAAAAAGAACGAATGATGGCTGCTCAGGCAAAGCGTGCTTAAAATCTATTCTTTTGTCCTATGTAATAAAGTTTATGTGAAAATACGTTTTGTACATGTGTACTGTTCAAGATTCTGGGAATATCATTTACATTCTGATATTTGAGGTTTTATTTTGTAAAATACTCTAATGACATAACTCTTAACCAAGTTGTCAGGTCCTCTGGACAGATTAAAAAAAATAAAAACTTGACCGTTTTGTTTTTAATCCAAAAGACTTCAGTCTGAGGACCTGCAGTAAACTCTAGCCTTATAATAGTCTCATCATAGTGGATGAAAGAAAAAACTACCAGCCAGTGGCCCTTACCCCGATAGTCGCTAAATGCTTCGAAAAACTGGTCATGACCCACATCAAAGCAACCATCAACATCAATGAAGACCCTCACCAGTACGCATACCGCAAGAATCAATCAATAGAGGACACCATCTCCTTTGTGGTCCACACTGCTCTCACCCACCTGGAGCAGAAGGACTCCTACGTCCATATGCTCTTTGTGGACTTCACGTCTGCCTTCAACACCATGATCCCCCAAACCCTGATGGACAAGCAACTCACACAGGACCACGCCCCTCCATTTGCAACTGGGTCCTAGACTTTTTAACACCACAGTGTGCGAGGATCCGCAACTTCTCCGCCATAACCCTCAGCACTGGCTCCCCTCAGGGATGTGTGCTGGGTCCTCTCCTGTTCACTCTGCTCATGTATGACTGTGCACCTACTCATCCAGGCTGTCATATTGTAAAGTTTGCAGATGATACAGTGGTGGTGGGATGCATCACAAACAACGATGGGTCCAGCTACAGTCAGGAGGTGGAACACCTGGAGAGCTGGTGCAAGGAGAATACCTTTCATATCAATGTGAAGAAAACAAAGGTGGTGATTGTGGATTTAAGAAGGAATAAACACCTACCCCCCCAAACATAGGATCTGTGGTGGAAGTGGTCTCCAGCTACAAGTACTTGGGTGTACACCTGAATGACAACCTCAGCTGGGGAAACAACACCACCAGCCTGATCAAGAAAGCTCATCAGAGACACTTCTTCCTCATGTGGCTGAGATGAGCTGGACTGGGAAGCTCAGTCCTCACCTCCTTCTACAGGTGTGCAGTGGAGAGCATCCTGTGCTCCAGCATCAACGTGTGGCATGGAGGCTGCACAGCTGCAGAAAGAAAAGCTTTGCAGAGAGTGGTGAAGGCTGCACAGAAGACTGTTGGAGTCAGCCTCCCCACCATCACAGACATCTACACCTCCAGATGCAGGAAGAGGGACACCTGCATCATGAAGGACCCCACTCACCCAGCTCAAGCACTTTTTGCCCCGCTCCCCTCAGGAAGGAGGTTCAGGAACATTAAGTGTATCCTGATGCATGCTCAATAATCCAGGTAGAAAAATCTTTAAAAAGTTGAATCTGGTCCTCTGGACATTCAAAAATACCAAAACAAACAAAACAAAAAAAAAAATTGTAGAAACGTTTTGTCTTTCATCCGAAAGACTTCCTCAGTCTGAGGTGCTGTTTTCAGCTCAGTCTCTTAAATAGCACCTTCTCAGAGTGGATCAACCAGTTTTGCTGCTGACAACCAAAACCAGCTGATCACATGATCAAGAAGGACCATCAGCCTAACAATGGGTCATTAACACACTGATGGCTGTTTACTATTCACAGAGGGCTGAGTGATACTAGCAATCACAGCATTGTAAGAGGGGGACAGTTGAACCCGGAGGCCTCCACCCCTGTTTAATGATGGACGATTTCTTTTCACAAAGATGGCCTCCTTTACTCCTCTCTCAAACCATCGTTCCTCTCTGTCCAGGATGTGAACATCTTCATCCCTGAAAGAGTGACCGCTGGCCTGGGTCATTCTGTATGTTGAGGGAGTATCAGAGAAACTGAGACGTTTATTTTCTAAACAACGTCCCAGTGGCTTTTAAACCCCAAAATACATTACGGCAAAGACTGGTTCATCCCAAAGATCCAGTCCCCCGGCACAAACAAAGTGTCAGGAGGGCTGTGATCAGTCTTACATCGGGGAAACTAAACAGCCACTGGCCAAAAGGATGGCCCAGCACAGAAGATCAACATCATCAGGCCAGGACTCTGCGGTCTACACTCATCTCCAGGCCAGCGGTCACTCTTTCAGGGATGAAGATGTGCACATCCTGGATAGAGAGGAACAATGGTTTGAGAGAGGAGTAAAGGAGGCCATCTTTGTGAAAAGAAATCATCCATCAGGGGTGGAGGCCTCCGGGTTCAACTGTCCCCCTCTTACAATGCTGTGATTGCTGGTATCACTCAGCCCTCTGTGAATAGTAAACAGCCATCAGTGTGCTAATGACCCATTGTTAGGCTGATGGTCCTTCTTGAGCATGTGATCAGCTGGTTTTGGTTGTCAGCAGCAAACTGGTTGATCCACTCTGAGAAGGTGCTATTTAAGAGACTGAGCTGAATACAGCACCTCAGACTGAGGAAGTCTCTTGGATGAGAGACGAAACGTTTCTACATTTTTTTGTTTTGTTTTTTTGAATGTCCAGAGGACCAGATTTAACTTTAGAACGTCAAGTGTAGAACCACTAGACTGAGGAACAGCTTCTACCCTGAGGCTGTTACACTCAATCTCTAACCAGAATGATCACTGTGAAAATCACATCATGTTGCTGTGTTCATCTGCTCACACTCATGTTCGTGCTGCTGTTTGGCGTATTGTTTTTATGCTATTAGTGCTTCGTGTACATTTAGTTGATGTTGTTCTTGGTTCATATCTTAGATCTTGTTTTTCTTATATATTTTATTGCTGTATGTAACTGGGACCGTGTACAAAATTTTGTTCCACCACATGAACCAGATGTGGTGCACATGACAATAATCCCTGAATAAAAGAAAAATGCATTAAAGACAACATTTCAACAAGTTTGTTTCTTTTAATCTGTCCAGAGGAACTTTTACATTTTTCTACCTGGATTGAGTATGCATCAGTATATCTAATGAAATGTTAATGATAAAATTAAGCACTTGTCAATAACTGACCTGGATCTTTGCCTCAGTTAATTTACCATAAAATGTCAAGTTCTACATTTGAGCAAATACCGTAATTTAGATTTGGACATAAAAAAAAAGCCTGTCTGCACATATCAGTATTTACCAAAAAATAATAAGCCAGGTTGAATATTTCATTAAAGGAAAAAATAATTAACCAAATTGTTTAACATTTAACAAAATCAGGTTCAAGTGTTTCATGTTTTTTAGTTCATTAACACTTCCACACTCAAAACTTGCAGCTAGTAATAAATGTAAAAATGCCCAAGATTATATAAAGTTCTGTGCTTAACTTTGACAAAGCTAAGATTTAGTGTCACACTCGAACTATGCATATCTTTAGTATTAAGTGTGATTCCACAATCTCATCTTCACAAATTACCAGACGGCTGCCAGGTGTAGCTCACAGGTGAAAAGTTAAGTACCTTCAGGTAAAAACCTTGAATCAAGTGTTAAATCATTGATGTGATTTACTACCTTACGATAAACTTTACAAACGCAGACATTGAAAGAACACGTTAATTGTTTGAGAACATTTTATTAAACGATTCTCTGTACAAAATGTTTAGGAGGCAGCGGCCTGCACAGCCTGGCCCTGCTGCACCGACAACCTGGTGTGAGTCTTGGCCAGATGGTCGGTGAACTCCTGAAAAGAGAACAAGGTCAGATTAAATACAAAAACTAATGCTTTCTATGCATGGGGGGGGGGGGGGGGTGTCACTGTACTCGCCTGGTATGGAGACTTTGTGAAAACGGTCTCCTTCCAGAGATCAGGGGTCAGGTAGCTGTAAGTCTTGGAGATCGCATCAAAGGTGGCTTTAGCTGAGGAGCAAACAAAACGAGTTGATGCTTAATAAGGAACGTGGCAAAAATAAGATTAAAAGATGCAAAAGAAAAATGTTGAACAGTAAATGGGAACAGAGAAGACCACCAAGGCGTCTTCCTGCCGTGCAGCATTCAGATACTTTCTCTCCTGATTAAGACAACCGCACCACTGAAGAGGTGAAGCTGGGCAGAGCTAGGAGAAACCGGAAACGCAACACAACGAATCAAGGACCGTACCGAAGTTGCCGAGCGTGGCGGTGCAGCCCCTGGCAGAGGTGTAGCAATCATCAATACCAGCCATCATGAGCAGCTTCTTGGGCACAGGGGCAGACACAATCCCAGTACCACGGGGGGCTGGGATCAGACGCACCAGGACAGAACCGCAGCGGCCGGTCACCTTGCACGGCACAGTGTGGGGTTTCCCAATCTTGTTACCCCAGTAACCTCTCCTGACTGGGATGATGGACAGCTTGGCAAGGATGATGGCTCCACGGATGGCTGTAGCTACCTCCTTGGAGCACTTCACCCCCAGACCTACGTGGCCATTGTAGTCACCAATGGCAACAAAGGCCTGTAAACAAAGAAAGATGTTGAAAGAAGCTGGGCGACAAAATCAATCACACCTTTGGAGTTGACACCAACCTTGAACCTTGTGCGCTGACCAGCCCTGGTCTGCTTCTGGACCGGCATGATCTTCAACACCTCGTCCTTCAGACCAGAGCCCAGGAAGAAGTCGATGATCTCAGACTCCTAGAGGACATCAGAACATTTAACTTAAGAGTTAAAAACATTCATATTTTAAGACTTTAACGGCGACTCCATCTTTATTAAGGTGCAGCTCACCTTGATGGGCAGGGAGTACAGGTAGATCTCCTCCAGGGACTTGATCTTCATGTCCTTCACAAGGCGGCCCAACTTGGTCACTGGCACCCACTAAGAGAGCATCTTCATTAAACACTTCAGACAGATAAACGATCAATTACACCAAATCATGGAGGTCAGAGACTCACCTCCTTGTCCTCGGACTTGCCGCCCCGTGCACCGCGGCCCCGTCCACGGCCTCTGCCGCGTCCACGGCCCCTGCCGCGGCCACCTGCGCCAAAACCTCCGCGAAAACCTCCTCTACCACCGGCGTCGTCCGCCATTTGCTGTTTTCATAAACAGAATCACATATTAAGTCATTAATTATATTATAACACACAGAATGCATTCGCTCCACAAGATCGCGTCGCCACATTAGCGGTTGGCATAATCTCCTAAAAATAATAAACTGCGTTACAATCTGCTTGGAAATGTGAGCACGATTACGAAATATAATGTTAGTAAGTTCGTTCAGAAGAGAAACGAATGTGTATGGCTAAACGATGTTTACGATAATTAAGGATTTTTGATCAGAATGAAAGCAGATGTGCAGCACTTACGTGATCGTTGAAACAGGAAGAAGGACCGGAAAAGGTTCCGTTACGTTTTGTTCAGTCAGTTCTCGCGAGATTTCCGTCCGGAAGAAAATATGATCTTTGCTTCCCCCTACCGACGATTTATGGGAACATCATGCACTCAAGATTTGGTATTAAATACACATTTTATTCTTATATTGTTAATTTTTAAACAGATTAAAACTTGTGGAAACTGAAAAAACATTCCATTTAAAGTTATGTTGTTTATCATACTAATATTTTTTTTACTTGAATGATAAAATGAGAAATATATTCTAGTGGTTTCCTGGATTATTGAGCATGGACTTTGTTGTTATTCTAATTTTATTTATCATTTTAGACACTTGTACATTAATTTACTGTCCACCCCTCTTTTAAATCAATGCATGATACTTAATGTTAAATATTTTATTTACAAAATAAATAAACTTACAGTACGCCAATGCTAAAGAATCACACATTTTAAGCCAGTTCCTATGTTTAAATACACACATCTTCAGAAAATAAACACAAGTAGCCAACAAACAGCAGCATCATCCTATTTTAACTGTTGCTGCTGCTAGGAGTCCCACCAGGGCTACCGCTGCTTTCCCCAAGCTCTTCCTCCTCCACCACCTCATGCAAGTCATCCATCACCTCCAGGCTCTCACAGATCAGCCCAATCTGCCTCTTCATGTGGGCCATGGTGCTTTGCAACCTCTTCATCTTCCTCTGTAAGGTGACAGCAATGGCCCTGTGGTTCTTGTGCCTTTCCTCATACTCCTGCCTCAGCTGCTTGTAGCAGTTGTGCTGAGCCTGGGTGTGGTGGGTGAGTATGGTTCCACAGCCCATGTGGCAGGGCTGACGCCAGTGCTCACAGTGGCGTGCGTGGGTGTCCAGGTCCCTGCGGAGAAGCTGCGCCCTGCAGCCCTGGTACGGACAGGGGACGAGCTCGTACAGGCAGCTCATGCTGTGGCAGTACTGCTCTGAGAGCGGGAAGGTCTCTGCACAACCACGGATCTCATTTTTACACTGCAAGAGACACAGACACACCAAAAATCAAGTAATTATAATCTAAAGGAATTACATTATTTACATTACTTAGTGGAACAAGATGAAAACTTTCTATGTTCTTTTAGTTGACTTACTGAGTAAAAGTATTCAATTTTATGTGGATTAATGAATTACAAAAGCTAAACTGTAAATTAAATAAGTGGTTTCACATGTTTTTCAACTATTCATTTATTGGCCAATGATTCAAAGTTTAATTAACTAAATTAAAAGTGAAAAACAGCATGTAGGCAATCAGTACAAAAAGAGCTGAGCCAGTATAAAATATGAGCATTCACAAATGTGCCAGAAAAATACAGGCTGACAATAAACAAAAAGCAAAGAGCTGTTTAAATACAGTCACTCAATTTAGGTATAAAAAAAGTATTTCCTACCTTGATCTTCATGCGCCCAATAGATTTACTCAGTTTGAACATGACAAAGATCAAGTTAGGGTTCACGGGCTTCCTGCAGCAGGGGCAGGTCTCCTGTCTGCACAGAATAAATACTCATCAGTCCCTATTTCTCCACTTTAAAGACACATTCTAGTTATTTATTTTTCCATAATTGTTTGAAATTCTATTCCGTAACATTAATCAGATTAATTCAGGACCTTTTCAGCCATTGTAAGATGCACTTCTTGCAGAAGATGTGGTGGCATGCACTTCTTACGGGACACCTGAGGACCCCTTGACAAATGGTGCAGATCAGGTCATAGTCTGGGGCGTCCACAAACAGCTCCACATCATAGCCCCCACTCTGCATTGAGACATCCGGGTCTGCCTAAATATAAATCTAGAGTTAACATGTTATATGAAGAGGGCATGTTGTAACACTTCACATGTTCTAACAGCAGTCATCTCTGCTGCCTACAACTATTTTCATCATAGAGGGAATCAACAAAACAGAATTAATCTAGAAAGTCATATGACTGATCACATGACAAAATTAATATTATGTACTTGCTCTTTAAAATTTTTTTTTGTAAAAATACAGAATGCTTACTCATTTGTATGAAATCATCCTTAACTTGACTTTTATTAATTTTAAAAAGTACCCCCCCCCCCCAAAAAAAAAAAAAACTATTCATAATAATAACATCACAGCAAAGGAGGAATTTTTTAAAATTTATTTAACACTTTCCTCATCGACATAATTTAAAATGTAAATTTATTAATGAAATAAGCTGATGAATAAATAAAACAAACAAATAAACACAGTGCCATCCACTCACCATGTTGATCCTCTACCCTCAGCCTGTTTCCATCCCAGCTGGTTTACTCCATATCGATCCCCTCACGTTACACACAACACACGCCCTCGTTATCAATACAACACACACACTAACTCGCTCACTTACACACACACGAATATTCCTGACAACACATGAAGGAGGGAGTGTGCGTGTGACCGTGCGCGTGGACAAACGAAACAGTAAAAGTCGTGTCATAATGAGGAGCGTCCGTCCTTTCCAGCATAAAACCCAGGCTTCTGGCTTTAAATACATGAATGGCTCGTGCTGTTTCTATTGTTCTGTTACAAAAAGTCTAAATTTGATCAACTTAACGATCCACAAGAACTAATTTTAATTCACTAAAATGCCATTTTATTCTTTAGACGTTACTACGTTTTAAACTACCAGATACTTGTTGTTTATTTAATCGATTTTTATATTTTTACCTGTGAACATTTGACCAATCATAGCTCCGCGCGCTTAGATGACGTATTCCGTGATTACGTCTAATGTGTGCGACTCCGCTAGCAGCATGTGGGGATGGTTGTTTGGACTGCAATCAACGTGTGAAATGTGTCAAAAGTGATTTATCGTTTGTGTAGCTAAAATATTTAGTATTAGTCGATTTTAATAGGCAAAATGGCATATAAAAATCTACAATTTAAAACAAAGTAAGTCTTCCCTTCTCGAGTTGTATGATTTTAAAACAAGCTAGGCTGAAAACGGCTAGCCCTTGATGATGCTTTTTCCTCCTTTTCTTTCTTTCAAGTTACGCTGTGTCCAGCAAGATCGAGCCATTTTACAAAGGAGGGAAGGTGCAGGTGAGTTGTTCATTTTTTGCAAAAAGTTAAAAAGGTGATAAGTACCAAAACATTGCTAGTTCACGCTCATTATTTACGCATACAACTGTTTTTTTAAAGCCACGTGGGTCAAAGTAACAGAAATCAACTGAATGGTGATCTTTTTGTCTGTGTTTTTTTAGATTAGCAGCGATGAGAAGTACATTTTTTGCACCTGTGGATCACGTGTCAATGTTTTGGAAATCAGCACAGGCAAGATTGTCCACTGTGTGGAGCATGTAAGTTCAACCTGTTGTCATTTGTTTCCTACTGTGTCACAGTATTTAATATTTTAATTTAAATCAACTTTGAGTTGTCTGTGTGGAGTTTAAGTTACTGGACAAAGATAAGATCAAACTTAAGGTCAAGGTTTCTTTATTGTCATTCACACCACATGTGGTGGAACGAAACTGTATACACAGAGTCCCAGTTACATCCAACAAAAGTATAAATTGTAAAGAAAAACAGTAGCAAGATCTAAGAAATGAACTAAGGAATATGCTAAACTAAGAATACACTAAGCACTAATGGTACAAAAACAATACACTGAACAACAGCACAAACTAGCTGAAGAATCAGAATCAGAATGCCTTTACTGTCATTCTACACAAGTACAATGAGATTGAGAGTCACTCCTTTTTCAGTGCAAACCATGCTTTAAAAAAAAAAGAGAGCAAATTACCTACTCAATTTATATTTTGTACCCTTGTTATTGCTGAATAATTAGTTATGCTATTAGTGATAAAATGGGTGTTAATTAGAACCTTTTTTTTTGGCAAATTAATGCCACTTACCCATGATGATCTTTACTATAAAAAAGTAGAAAAAGGCAATAAACTTGCACTGTACTGTTCTGTCTACAGCTGTGTATGACTGTATTGTTCTTTTCACACTAATTAATTTTCATTCATCTGAATCATGGTATTGAAAGTGTGTTTTTTTTTGGGGGGGGGTCTAAACTTGCCTGCAGGACGATCAAGAGGACATCACATCATTTTCACTTAGCTGTGATGACGAGGTAAATGAACTGCTGAATCACCAAAAGCTTCATGGAAGTGGAGTTTTATTTTTGTTTTTAGCAGTTTGTAAAACAGTTCAAAGTGTTTGTTGATTGTGTTTATTGTGTCCAACCTCAGATACTTGTAACAGCCAGCAGAGCTTTGCTGCTAAAGCAATGGGACTGGAGGCAAGCCAAATGCACTCGCTCCTGGAAGGCCATCCACACTGTTCCTGTGGCCAGTATGACCTTTGACTCCACCTCCACTCTTCTGGCAACAGGTCAGCGACGGCACCGTCACTAACTATCACCTGTTTACATCTATAAAAACAATGCAGTTCTAAGTTTCTTCTCTCTCTTTGCTCTTGTAGGTGGCTGTGATGGGACAATCAAACTTTGGGATGTGCTGAAGCAGTACTGCACTCACAACCTTAAAGGATCATCTGGAGTGGTTCAGTAAGTCCTAATTAACTTTCAAGGAGGCACAGGTTGGAGCTACTTTTTTAAAGTATAGCTATGGGTTGACAGTTTAACGGATTGCTTCATGTGCTGTGCCAATACAGGTCATTTTGGGGGGAATATAACAAATTGCATAGAAATATCAAGTTTAATAACAATAAAAACCTTTTTTGTGTTTTAGCCTGGTTCAGTTTCACCCAGATACCAGTCGGCTGCAGCTCTTCTCCTCCTCTCTGGACTGTGGTATTCGGGTATGGGACTTGCGGTCCAGCGTGTGTGTGTGCATCCTGCAGAGCCACTACAGCGCTGTCACGTCCCTCAGCTTCAGCGGTGACGGTGACACCATGATCAGGTACAGTGCACCCACCCGCTCTGCAGATTTCAAATCAAACTGGACATTTATTAGGTTGTTTTTTTGTGTTCTAATTCTGTGTACCAAAGCAGTTAAAACGTCCTGTTCTTTACTTGTAGTTCTGGTAGAGACAAAATCTGTACAGTGTGGGACCTTAAAACCCGGCAAGCAAAGAGAACTGTTCCAGTTTATGAGGTACGACGACGAACGACTTCTTTCAATACCAGTAAAAGGTTTTTGGCAAACTTAACTTGTTTTTATCTCCAGGCTGTGGAGGGAGCCGTGCTTCTGCCTGAGAATACAGACTTATCTCAGATTGGAGTGAAAAGCAAAGGTTTACATTTCATCACAGCTGGCAGCAAAGGTTTGCCACTTAACTGTCTTCAGCATTTCATTTGTTTTTAGTACCCCTGGTAAATGTAACTTTTTTCCTGTAGGTGTGCTGAGAGTGTGGGAGGCCAGCACTGCACGCTGTGTTTACACCCAGACCCTTCCATCTATCTCCACTTCTGTCTCTGAGGAAGATGAGGGGAACGATCCTCGCAGTCTGATACACCTTTTCCACCTGCCCACCTCGTCCAGGCTGGCCGCAGTCACTGCAGAACACAACATATTCTTCTACCGGCTGCCTGAACTCACCACGCTGCAACAAGTGAGTGCTGGGACTAAAACTTTCTTCTAGTTTCTTATCTGATGGAAAACACTCCAGTCTGACAAGTGCTTCAAACATAACATTTGGTTGATTTATGCAAACAACAGACACTTTTCTCTTTGGCCTCCTGCAGTTTGTGGGTTACAATGATGAGGTGTTGGACGTGAAGTTCCTGGGTAAAGCTGCCAGTCACATTGTGGTGGCCACCAACAGCTGCCAGCTGAAAGTGTTTGAGCTGCTCACCAACAGCTGCCAGATCCTCTACGGACACACAGGTGAGTCGACAGCAGGGGGCACTACGTGTCTGAGTGAAACGACCTGGACGTGTGTTCTTATTTACAGGAAATCATAGTTTTCTTTTGTTTTTAATAGAAGTGTGGTTTTGTTGTTTCACATTAGAGGTCAAAGCTAACTACACACCATCAGATTAGAACTCCTTTAGTTTAAAGCTTATTTCCTGACATCTTACCTAGGAGTTATTAAGGAGCAAGATCTGTAAAATGTAAAAAAAAAAAAATCAATGATAAAACCAAAAAAGTTTTCATAAATAATTTTTTAGAGAAAAGGAAGTGTGTGTGTGAAGCCAGAATCTAGAAAAATCATCTCTGACAGCATCCGGTTTGTGACCTGCAGAGCAGGCTGGCTGCTGACGTTTATCTCTGTTCTATCTGTTCGTCTTCCTCAGATACTGTCCTCACACTGGACGTGTTCATAAAAAAGTCCATGTTTGCGAGCAGTGCAAAGGTAAACACAAACTGCTGTGACGAAACAGAAACGACCACAATGAAAATACAGTTGTAGCTGTTTAGTTGAGCCCGTTCTGTCAGCGGTGTAGTTTTCAGTCTTATTTCAAACTGTTTGCTGTGTGTGCAGGACCGGTCAGTGCGTGTATGGCAGATGGACAGTGACAGCGGTCAGGTGCGATGTGTGGCTCAGGGCTCCAGCCACACCAATGCTGTGGGCTCCATCAGCTGCTCCAGGTAAAGCTCCACTTTCATGTCAGTTTCTTAGAAATATCAACACGGGTGAAGAGTTGGATGGTAAATATTGTAACGGTGTGAAAAAAGGCTGATTAATGGAACAATATATGAGGGGAGATTTCCTGTTTTTTTTGTTTGTTTCCAGGATGAAAGCGTCTTTCATTGTGACTGGCAGTCAGGACTGTACCCTGAAGGTGTGGGATCTACCTGAAGAACTTCCTGCATCAGGGACAGAAATCCACCAGCTAAGACCCCGAACCACAGAGAAGGCTCACGATAAGGTACAGGAGCTTTCAGATTAAAACCATAATGTTTGATAGTTCCAATTTCCATAAAAATCTATTTATTTTTAATATTTAGGATCTTTTTACCAAATTTTTGTTAAGACTCAACCTGATGAAGCATCTAACAAATACTTCTCAAAAAAAACAGCATTGCTTCCTTTTTAAACAGAGACGTAGAAACTTCCGTACATTTATAACATATAGTTGAGAGATCAACACTGAGACAATAACAATGGCTTGGTTGGTTAGCGAGTCCCAGCTGGAGCCTTTCTGTGTGGAGTTTGCATGTTCTCCCCTTTGCACACATGGGTTTTCTTGAAGTACAGTAGTCCCTCGTTTATCTCGCGGGATCCGTACCCTGAAGACCTGCGATAAGTGAAAAACCGTGAAGTAGGAGTAGTAGTACAGGTAGTAAGTAGTAGTTTATTTTAGTGTTTATATATTATATAAAGGTGTTTTTAAACCCTTCCCGCACTCTTGCAATATTCTAAACAATGTTTCTAAACTCTAAACCTCTAAAAGAGCACAGAATGTCATGATTTCAGCTCCCTGCCTACTCTGCTCTTTGCCACCTGCAAGCGCTCTTGGCCACGCCCACTTATCTGCTCTGCACGGAGAACAGCTGATCAGCTGCAGCACGAAGTTTATCCTGCAGCTCTGGGTTGCACATTGGTGCAGCAGGTGCTATATCAGCACTTTGGTTGGCCCTGTCACTGTTTAAAGTGCTCTATAAATAAAATGGTGTGGTATGGTAAATAATTTAAAATAATTTATTAAATAATTTATTTTAAATAAAAATTCCATGTCGATCGTGCGTCTCATCCATCTATCAGCCAATTATGTGTCATGTCCAATCTTATTTTGAAAAACTGCGATTAGGCCTGTCACGATAAACAATAAATCAATTAATCACATGGTAAATGAAAATTATCGACCTCATTTTTCATTTATTGGCTTTATCGTTTCTTCGTGTCCCTCTTTCTGATGACGCTGGATGACAAAAAGCTCAACTCCGGTGCTCGTCACTGACCCCTCCCTGTCTCTTTATCCATTTTAAATCCAAAATTCATTTTAATCGTCTTCTTAACCTTCTTAAAGAGACACGCTGCTCGCTCCCTCGCTATCCATCCTTCGGTTATACTGCCATCAAGTGATCGAAAAAGATACTACACGCAAAACAAATTAAAAAACATTTCTTAAATTTGACATTAATTACTAATTATTGTCAAATTTCAAACAATGTTATCGTTTGTCACAATAATTTCTGAGACAATTAATCACCCAGCAAAATTTATTATTGTGACAAACCTAACCGTGATAGAGCGAGTCCGTGATAAACGAACCGCGAAGAAGCGAGGGACTTCTCCAGTTTTCACCCACAGTCCAAAAACATACATGTTGGGTTACATGGCAACGAAATTGTCACTTGGTGTGAATGTGCGCATAAAAGGTTTTCACGTTTGTCTCTGTGTTGGATCAGTTGCCTGTCCACGGTCTGCCATTAAATATGAAACAAGAAAAACTGAACAGTTTGAACTGATCGTTTTACTCTTAGTTTTTAAGCGTTGCCTTTCGTCTATTTTTCTCTGTTTTATCAGATTTTACTCAAAGGTCAAAAGAGATTCAGATTCTTGTTAAAAAAATTAAAGCACAGGGAGTTCATGTTAATTTTAGTTTAGGTTTACACTCCATATCACTTCTTTTAATATCTTTTATTTGAAGAAAGTTATATTTTTCTGGTATTCTCAAGGTAGTATTTTGATTTCAAGTTCTTGTTAGGGACACTGTCAGATTTTTGAGTTTTCTTCTTGAAGTTTAGTTGTAGTTTTAGTTTACTTTATTATTTTTTGAATATTTAAAAACACACAAAAAAATACAGCATGAAGCATAATGTCAAAACTTTTTGTTTTACATATTCAAGTTGAATCCTGAAGTGAAATGTTTCGGTGCAGTGAAGCTGTTCATTGATAAATAAATCTAGTTTTTCTTGTACAGACTGAAAACAGTCAGACCAGTTCTGTAAATAAGCTTATATAAGTTTTCTTTCCTCTGAAGGAAATGCTGGAAAATATTTTTCCTTTTGTGTTTTTTTTTTTTTTTTTGTTCCCGCAGCACGATTAAAGGGAAAAAAGAAACGTCTTCACGTAGCACCTTTTCCTGCTTCACCCACATCTTAAATGGGACAATTTGTCCCTCCATCTATGAGGGATTGCTTAACTTTCCATTTGTTTTTTCTGCATCACATTCCTTCAGAAGAATGTGACTGCAGCTTGTAGTAAAGTCACGAAGGCTTGAGAAGTGTTAAGAATCTGCTACTAAACATCCCGTCTTCAGCATCAGATTGAACCATTTTGTTTCTGAACTTAACTGAACTTTCTATAAATTCCTCCTTTTTTCTCCAGGATGTAAACAGTGTCTCCGTGTCTCCTAACGACAAGCTGCTGGCCTCGGGGTCCCAGGACTGCACAGCCAAGCTGTGGTCTCTGTCTGGGGATGGAAATTTGGGTCTCGTGGGGGTGTTTCGGGGCCACCGTCGTGGGATTTGGACCGTCTGCTTCTCTCCCGTTGATCAGGTTCTGGCCACGTCTTCCGCAGACGGGACAACAAAGCTGTGGAGCCTGCAGGACTTCAGCTGTCTGAAGGTGGGAGGGGAAGGAGTGGACGATGTCAGAGTAATCTGGGGCATCATCTCATCATCAGTCATGGTTGTCTTCTGGTGCGAAACTCGTTGTTAGCCTGACACTGAGTGATGTTTCTGTTTTTATTCTGAAGACGTTCGAGGGCCACGATGCTTCGGTTCTTAAAGTCATCTTTGTGAGCCGCGGCACGCAGCTGCTGACCAGGTGAACACACTCACCTACTTACCTACATTTCTACCTTCCTACCTACCTCCTACCTACCTACCTACCTTCCTACCTACCTTCCTAACTACTTATCTTCCTTCCTCTCTACCTTCCATACCTACCTTCCTACCTACCTACAGGTGCGTACCTTCCTTCCTACCTACTTACCTTCTTACCTACCTACCTTCCTAACTACTTACCTTCCATCCTACCTACTTTCCTGCCTACCTACCTTCCTATCTACCTTCCGACCTAACTACCTACCTTCCGACCTACCTACCTACCTTCCTATTTACCTTCCCTACCTACCTACCTACCTTCCTACCTACCTACCTTCCTATCTACCTTCCCTACCTACCTATCTTCCTACCTGCTTACCTGCCTACCTTCCTTCCTAACTATCTACCTTCCCTACCTTCCTACCGGTACGTACCTTCTTACCTACCTACCTGCCTACATACCTACGTACTTTCCTAACCACTTAACTTCCTTCCTATCTACCTTCCTACCTACCTACCTTCTTACCTTCCTAACTACTTACCTTCCTTCCTGCCTACCTTCCTTCCTAACTACCTACCTACCTGCCTACCCACCTTCCTACCTACTCGCCTACCTACAATCCTAACCTCATACCTACTTCCTTTCTTACCTACCCACCTTCCTAACTACTTACATTCCTTCCTATCTACTTACCTACCTACCTGCCTACCTTCCTTCCTAACGACCTACCTACCTGCCTACCTTCCTGCCTATCTTCCAACCTACTTATTTACCTTCCTGCCTACCTTTTTACCTACCTACCTTCCTAACTACTTACCTTCCTTCCTATCTACCTTCCTACCTACCGTTCTACCTACCTACCTGCCTACCTTCCTTACTACTTACCTTCCTCTACCTACCTTCCTAACTACTTGCATTCTTTCCTATCTACCTACCTACTTACCTTCCTACCTACAGTGCCTTGCGTAAGTATTCGGCCCCCTTGAACTTTTCAACCTTTTGCCACATTTCAGGCTTCAAACATAAAGATATAAAATTTAAATTTTTTGTGAAGAATCAACAACAAGTGGGACACAATCGTGAAGTGGAATGAAATTTATTGGATGTGTCAAACTTTTTTAACAAATAAAAAACTGAAAAGTGGGGCGTGCAATATTATTCGGCCCCTTTACTTTCAGTGCAGCAAACTCACTCCAGAAGTTCAGTGAGGATCTATGAATGATCCAATGTTGTCCCAAATGATTGATGATGATAAATAGAATCCACCTGTGTGTAGTCAAGTCTCCGTATGAATGCACCTGCTCTGTGATAGTCTCAGGGTTCTGTTCAAAGCGCAGAGAGCATCATGAAGACCAAGGAACACACCAGGCATGTCCGAGATACTGTTATGGAGAAGTTTAAAGCTGGATTTGGATACAAAAAGATTTCCCAAGCTTTAAACATCCCAAGGAGCACTGTGCAAGCAATCATATTGAAATGGAAGGAGTATCAGACCACTGCAAATCTACCAAGACCCGGCCGTCCCTCTAAACTTTCATCTGGAACAAGGAGAAGACTGATCAGAGATGCAGCCAAGAGGCCCATGATCACTCTGGATGAACTGCAGAGATCTACAGCTGAGGTGGGAGAGTCTGTCCATAGGACAACAATCAGTCGTACACTGCACAAATCTGGCCTTTATGGAAGAGTGGCAAGAAGAAAGACATTTCTCAAAGATATCCATAAAAAGTGTTGTTTAAAGTTTGCCACAAGCACCTGGGAGACACACCAAACATGTGGAAGAAGGTGCTCTGGTCACATGAAACCAAAATCCAACTGTTTGGCCACAATGCAAAACGATATGTTTGGTGTAAAAGCAACACAGCTCGTCACCCTGAACACACCATCCCCACTGTCAAACGTGGTGGCAGCATCATGGTTTGGGACTGCTTTTCGTCAGCAGGGACAGGGAAGATGGTCAGAATTGATGGGAAGATGGATGGAGCCAAATACAGAACCATTCTGGAAGAAAACCTGTTTGAGTCTGCAAGAGACCTGAGACTGGGACGGAGATTTATCTTCCAACAAGACAATGATCCAAAACATAAAGACACATCTACAATGGAATGGTTCACAAATAAACGTATCCAGGTGTTGGAATGGCCAAGTCAAAGTCCAGACCTGAATCCAATCGAGAATCTGTGGAAAGAGCTGAAGACTGCTGTTCACAAACGCTCTCCATCCAACCTCACTGAGCTCGAGCTGTTTTGCAGGAAGAATGGGCAAGAATTTCAATCTCGATGTGCAAAACTGATAAGAGACATACCCCAAGAGACTTGCAGCTGGAACTGCAGCAAAAGGCGGCGCTACAAAGTATTAACGCAAGGGGGCCGAATAATATTGCACGCCCCACTTTTCAGTTTTTTATTTGTTAAAAAAGTTTGACACATCCAATAAATTTAATTCCACTTCACGATTGTGTCCCACTTGTTGTTGATTCTTCAAAAAAAATTAAAATTTTATATCTTTATGTTTGAAGCCTGAAATGTGGCAAAAGGTTGAAAAGTTCAAGGGGGCTGAATACTTTCGCAAGGCACTGTACCTTCCTTCCTAACTAACTACCTACCTGCCTACATTTCTTCCATCCTACCTACCTTCCTAACTACTTACCGTCCTTCCTATCTACGTTCCTACCTGCCTTCTTATATATTTTTATTTATTTTCCACTGAAAACAAAGTAATAAAAGCACAGTAATGTCAAAATAGATTAAAACAAGAATCAAAAGTAATGATTATCAAAGTCCAGCGGCCTTTTCTTTTTTACACTCATTTTTATAGTTATTGATTAATCTGATTTTAAATGTTAAAAATCACTTGTTTCGTGTTCTTTAGTGTGAGCTAAATATTTAAATATATAACATATTTATTCATTTTAAATGAAATTACCAGTATGTGAATGGACAGTTCTTAAACTTGGACCATTCTTAATATAAAACTTGTTAAGTTTTTCTAACAACTTACTTTTATGTATTTTTTAAATGAAGACAGAGTTTTTATTAGCATATACATATTTTTTGCACCGTGCTTTTATTGTCCATTGTCCTACCCTGAACACATCGTTTCATCCGAGGACTTATATTTGAGAGCTCGCGCTCATCTTCAGTTGTTTTGGCTGTGATGCAAACTGGCCTAACCTTATCGACCCCTTTCCCTCAGCGGCTCAGACGGTTTAGTGAAGCTGTGGACCATAAAGACCAACGAGTGCGTGAAGACGCTGGACGCCCACCAGGACAAAGTGTGGGGGCTCCACGCCAGCCACAAAGATGACAAGATGGTGACGGGCTCTGCAGACTCTAACATCACCGTGTGGGAGGCAAGTAGGAGCTGACCGACACTCGCAGACCGCAGAGACTGAAATTATAAGATTAAGTTGGGGGAAAAAAAGTTTTGAGATTGATTAAGATCTGAATTTTCTGATAAAACTGTTTTCCTCTCCTTTTTTTTTAAAATTAATCTTTAAGTAGCATAATTAAACAGAAGTCCTCTGAACACAGACGTAAGAGTTTTAAATTAACAGTGTAAAGTTTGATCAATAATGTAACATCCTCCTAATATACAGTTTTTGTCCCTCTATTGTTTTTTTTTTTTTTTGACATCAAGTCAACACTTTATTAGCAGCTTATTTATTTACTGCTCTTGTGTTTGTGCGCCACCAGGATGTGACCGAGGTGGAGCTGGCGGAGGAGCAGGCCAAGCAGGAAGATCAGATACTCAAGTCAGTTATTTCCAGCTCTTTTGGGTTTTAAAACTTTGATCTCTTACCGCAGGGACGAGCTGTTTTCAGTCATCGTTGTGCCACTCATCCGCGTTCGCTCCCATTTTCACAAGATTTCTTTTCAGTTTCCTGTGAAACGTTCCTCCTTTAATTTTCAAGAAGCACACCGGCCGCATAGTTAGAAAATCAAATATACAAATTTTATTTTGCAGAGGAATTTGTGGCAAATTTGTTACCATAGCAATGATCAAAACTTATCTTGGTGGAATTTGTGAGTTTTAGCAAAATATCCTGTGAACCAATGGGTGGATTTTAATGAAATTCTCTGGAAGTAATCACTGGGTGTGTATCTAAAACTTGTCACCATGTGGAATCCAGCTAATTAAAAATGGCTGCTACTGATGATTGACCTTAGCAAACACAAGATTGGTACAACTCAGGCAGTTTTACAGATACAGTGTGGTGGTAGTTGAGAGTTCTTCCTAACATTCACTCTGAGTGCTAACAGATTGCGTAAGCTCTTTGGTTTTTATCCTCTCCTGTTTATTTGCGTTACAAACTGTAAAACGCTCAAAACAAAAAGTGATGTCAATCAGCACTGTCCTTTAAGCTTTGTTTGTGCAGTAAAACGTGCATCATGTTCTGAGCCGTGTCGTGTGTTTGTTGTGTCTGAAGGCAGCAGGAGTTGTCCAACCTGCTCCATGAGAAGAAATATCTGAAGGCCCTGGGTCTCGCCATCTCACTGGACCAGCCTCACACCGTGCTGACCGTTATCAAAGGTGCAGGACTGTTTGCACGCGGGGCTTGCTCAGACATTAAACACAATCTGTCTCTGCGTTCTCTCGTTTTTCATGGTTTCTCATTGAGTCACGCCGCTCGGCCGGAGAATACGTGTTCTGTTTGTTGGTACAGGATTTCTTTGGTGCTTTTAGGATTAACCATCGTTTGGGTCACGTAAATGTTTTTCCCTCGCTGTTTTAAAATAAGTGTGAACAAAAGTTGTTTCCTGTTGCTTTTAGCGATTCGTCAGGGTGAGGGAAGCCACGAGCTGCTGGAAAAGACGGTGCTGAAACTGCGAGTCGATCAGAGAGGTATAACATGTCGATGTGTTTTTTTTTTTTATTGACACTGCTGGAAAAAGATCTGAATTATAGCTTTAAAACTTTTAACATGATTTATTTCCATGCAGCTAAAGTTTCTCTCTGTTTAATTTAAACTTCCTGTTTTGATGTTCCGCTCAGAGTCGCTGCTGCGCTACTGCGTGGTGTGGAACACCAACGCCAGGAACTGTCAGGACGCTCAGGCCGTCCTCCAGGTGCTCCTCACTCACCTGCCGCCCGAGGAGCTTCTTCAGTACCAGGGAGCCCGAGCCCACCTGGAGGGTCTGATCCCGTACACAGGTGATCCAGAAAAGCACAAACTAGCTGGACGAGATGTGTCGATGCTTGAATATAAACCAACAGGATGATTGAAATACTGGGGTTATATTCCTCAATAAGTCATGCAGAAACATAAATACAACTTCTTATCAGAATCAGCTTTTATTGTCATTGCATCAAAGCACAAGAAAATTAAATTTCAGTACAGCCCATTCGAACAAACAAACAACAGACGGGGTAGATGGAGTGTCTGAGGCTGCAGCCTCAATGAGAGGTGCTTCTTTTTTTGTTAGATTAGAAAAAGGGGAACATGAGGGAAGAGGACGTAAAAAAAAATAAAATCTCACTCTGTCCTGTTAGAAACACAGTGTGAGGCTACAAAACCCCCAACACACACAAAAAAAAAGCAACGTAGAGTTGGTAAGGGTGGGGGTCCCATCACAGGCCGCCCAAGTGAGCGATGCAGACACTTGTCCCTTCACATCTACTCAAGTTGCTGCAGACTTACAATGGCCAGAACATCTGCCGACGTTTTCCTAATTTGTCGATATGCCAGGTAACCACCAACTCCACAAAGCAGAAATCCTGTTATCATAAATCCAATTATGTACGCATCTTCAGCGTCCTCGGCTGACCAGATGGACCAACACACGATCTTCTACTTCCCCCAGGAATCCATCGTGTGCCAGTGTCCCGTCGGGGCAGGAGGGCTCTCCTTCACCCTGTCTTCTCGTTGAGAAAATGTGATCAATTGCGTTGAGGGACCAGCTGACCAGATCCATAACTTTGATCTTTTTAGAGAAAACAAATGTGGTTTAAACACTCACAAGCTTATTAGTTTTAGCTCTTATTGTCTTCATCTAAAGTGAAACTTTATCATAGAATCATATGGGGGAGTGTAGTGGTTTTTAACGGGATAAGTTGCTTTACAGCTACTTCTATAAATAAACGTATCAGTCATGTTCTAATTTTTGTTTCTTTTCTTGTGATTACTATAAAACATAAATAATTAGGTTGATATTTTTCACCACACAGAAAGACACATGGAGAGGATCGGCCGTCTGCTGCAGGCGTCCATGTTCCTCAACTACATGTGGCAGAAAATGAGAGTAACTGGAGCATCGAGGTGAGGCAGCAGCTCATTACATCACTTTCATCTGAGCCACTTGGATCTGCTCCTATGAACCCTTTGTAGGATTTTAGCCTTTATATTCATGGTTTGTATAAAAATGATAGTTCTGATAAGAAACGTGTCAAAGCTTTTTATAATTTGAACTCTTATTTCCTGTTTATTTTACACGGGTGATGTAGACGAGGCATAGCCCCAACACAAAACATGAAGGTGTTTCCTTCTCATGATGATTAATGTTGTTGCTCACCAAGCGGCATTCCTAGCTGCATTTTTTTTGGGTCTTTTTTTTTTTTTTTTGTTGCTAAATGAAGGTTCTGACAGGAGGAACTGATGTTGTATAAGATACTGCTGATACCTAGAAATACTGCTGAAGGATGAAGATAAAATATAAAGCTAATTATTTTATCATTGTTCTTCTTCCAGCATGACCCAAGATGATGAAATGGATACGACTCCTCTGACACAGACCCAGTTCTTTTTTGATAAAGAGAAAATAAAGGAGAGTAGCGCTGAGAGACGAGGTGACGACAGCGACAGCGGGCAAGACGAAGATCCACATGATGATGAAGAAGAAGAGGTGATTGAAGTCAGCGCCACAAAAAAGGCCTCTGCTAACAGGAAAGCTGAAGGCAGAACCAACAGGAAGCAGCAGCCAGAGAGCGAGGAAAGCTCTGAGGAGGAAGACGAGGAGCTTCAAACAATGAAAGTGAAGAACCTCCCAGTTTCTTCTCCTCCACAGTGTCAGACTCTGAGCTGATGGAAACACGGACACTCAGGCTGTCAGGAGAAGAGGAAATAGATGCCAAGTGAAAACACGAAGAACAGGTTTTGCTGTAAATACTGAAGACTTTCCAAGTCGTGGCGTTTTACCCGTCAGTCGTTTCTCGTATAGATTTTAAACGGAAACTGAAGATGCGGAACCATTCCGATGTGTTTTTTATTTACCGTATAAAGAATCCAAGAAGATGAAGAGGCTAAAGGAGGAAGAGCTGAAACACAAACGTGGACAAGTTTGTTTCAGTTCTGCAGTGTTGCATCATCATTTTGATCTACTGACGTTTATACAAATGCAATAACTTTACATAATCTACACAAAAACATGTTTAGATACCAGTCAATGCATTTATGAATAAAGAAAATAACTCCCATCTATCGTTTACTGTTATATGTCTTGTATTAGTTTTATTTTGATGAGCAAATATTTTAACAAAACCCTGATTTGTTCAGTTTGACTTTTTTTTCCTGGTTTGTTTGCGTACCATATTTTTTGGACTATATGGCGCATTAAGCAAAACAAAACCGATAAGTCAAACTTTATTCCACTCATTCACAATACTGATTACGGTACCGCGAGACTCCTGACTATGGTAGCCGTAATGCTCCGACAATCCATCAAGCTTTGTAGCTTCATAACTTAAAAGTCATACTAAAACATTTTTGACAGATGTTTGAACGCCGTGTACCACATCGGTTCGAGGTCCATCACGGCAACCAAAAAGTCATACATTTTTAAAAACTGCTTTATTTTTGTAGGTAGGTAAACAAAATTTCAGGATACAAAATGCTGAGTTTCCAGTGTGGAAAGTAAATTTTTTATTTTTTTATTTAAACAAAAGTATTAGGCTCAAATAGGTTATATTCCGAACAGAGTTTTACTTTTTTAATGTTCCAAAACTGAAATTATTCTACAATTAACAATTCTTTCAAAGTTCATCAACTGGTTAGTTTGGGTGGAGCAAAGTTGGAGGTTCATCGACTGGTCCCCTCAGTTAGGATGGGGGGCAGGTTGATCTTGGCTGCGTTCTTGCGGGTGACGCTGCTGCAGCGGGTCAGAATCTCCTGGGCCCGGGGCCTTGGTGGCACCTTAGGTGATGTTGGGCTCTTGTAGAGGTTGGGATCAGAGACACTGGGGAGTAATCTCCCCTGTGGTTGGCTTGTTGGGCTGAGGAGGTTGTTCACCGTGGGGGGAGGCGTGCGGCTAAGTTGCAGCCGCTCATCGTTGGAGCCGCAGCTCAGGCTGAGGGATGATCCACCGAAGACGGAGCCTGAATCGTCGCTGAAGATGTCGCTGTCACAGCTGTCATCAGTGTCTGCTGTCAGCATCCTGCCGCCCTCCTCTTCATCCTGCACCATGATGATGGGGGGAGGGGGAGGAGCTCTCACAGGGGTGGGTCTGCTGGGGGAGTTTGTCACAGAGATGCTGTGGCTTTCTGCAGGTTGTGCATGAGACTGCTCAGACGGCGTGCACAGTGACCTGGATCGGGACCTCTGGACGCTCTCGTCTTGGATCGAATCGGGCGACAAGGACACGACAGGTAGAAGCTGTGGCAGGTTTCCATGGGAACAGCTGTGATGCAAATTGGAGGAAGGGGCGATGAGGGAGGACAAGTTGCTCCGAACTTGATTCTCAGGTGTCATACGAATATGAGGCAAGCTGTACGGCTTCAGGTGTATGGTTGGGATGTAGCCTATCTTCCCTTTGTATCTGTGAAGAAACAAAATGAGAAGGGTTAAAGTAGATTAAGGCTGAAAGAATAAAAACATCATTAAATTATTACTACTTGAATATTATCTATTTAAAGTAAAACATATCCCTCTGGATTAGACATTTTATAAAAGAAATGAATTCCATCTCTGTTTCTACACCTTGAACCTGAATTTCAAGCAAAGGCAGCATGAGTTTTGTTTTTCTGATGGGAATTTGTCAGTGCACATGGATTAGGCAATTAAAACATGCAAAAAACTAAATGCATGTATTCACTGCATGCATTGTAACGAGCCTGCAGTCATAGTTACTGTTTGTGCACTTTGATGTTTAAAGCTCTGTATGCCTTGTTGCACATATAATCTGAAAATCAGACATTTAACCAGCTTCACATTTTATGCATTTTGTGGAGTTTGGAACTTTCCAAAGATGTAATAATTCTGAAATGGTCAGTATTGTTGAAAAATTGCACATTTTGTGCCTTTTCGCCTTTTAACAACTTGTTTTCACGTGTAAGGAAACTGTTAGCAGAAATCAGGACAAAGATTTCCCACCTGATACTGTGAGGCATGAGGCTTGTTTATATTGTACGTGTACACTTCAGGATGTTCTGAAGGGATGTTTCTGACAAAAGTCAAATGTGTTGGTACCTGACGAGCCACCAGCCATTGTCAGACTTCTGCAGGACCTCCACCACCGCTCCAATGTTTATGGATATCTCATCAAATTTGGTCGACTTGTAGTTTTTGACTGCAGTGTAGAGCAAACCTATGGAGGTCATGAAGATGTTTAAGAAGAAGGTTGATATGTTTATCCATGTGAAGTGCTGATACTCTGTTTCGCTGTGCAAATACCTCTTTCTAGAATCTCATCCTCCTCATCGTCCTCCTCGTTCTCTAACTTCTCCAGGTAAGGTGCAGGGAACCAGGCCATCCGCTTGTCTTCGTTTTCTACAAGCCACCACCCTGAACAGACGGTCCTGAGTTGAACTGAGTGTACTTTGAGCTGCAGCAGCCACAAACGTCAACACTGACTGAGACGTGTTTGCTCACCTCCTTTGTCTTTGATGAGCACGTCCAGTTTTTCCTCAGCCGTCACTTTGAAAGGTTTGTTCTTGGTGTCTTTTGTCTCGTAGGACGCCACGCATCGGTACGTCTCTGTGACGAACGGCTGGGTGACGTTCCCACTGTTGCTGTGTCCTCCGTTGTGCCTGAGCTTGTCCTCAGAGGGTATGATCATGATGCTGAGGCAAATCCACACCGGAGGACATTGAAAAATGTCAGACATGTCAAATGTCTTAGAAAAGGAGCAACTTTGATATTTGTGAGATTGAACCAGGATTTAAATGAAGCGTGTGTTTGCAGCTGTAAGAGTCTCAAAACTCTCATTTGTTTGAGGTCATTTTGAAACCAGTTTCTTCCCACAGTGTTTTGATTCTCAGATTTTAATCTCACCTGTTCTTGGTGAACTCCGACTGCAGCTCCTGACCTTTGGCCTGGAAGAACCGGATCAGGTCTGCAGACTGAGACACTCGTGGATCACAGCACAGGAGTTCATCGCAGTATTTCTGTAAATACTTCAGACGTACCAGTGATTTGTTAGAGCCCGTCCTTTGGCTCTTCTTCGTGCGAATACCTAAACAACCCCAGGGACACATATTCAGTTAAATCTCATGAGACTGACTGTGACTCGGACGAACTTAGCAAACACACGCTCACCTCTGAATTTGGGGAGGATTCTGTCAGATTTATTCAGTTTGCTCGCAGATGGAAACGCTGCCTTCAGTTGTTTCTGTGCAAAACAAAAATAAGTACATAATGACAGGAACCACATGTGGTTTGTACAAAAGCAAGATATAAATAAATGCAATTATTTAACCTTACATGCATTTTTTTGAAATCCCCAAAACTTCTGTAAACCACAACTTCGTTCTGGTCTGACCAAAGCACCGAGGTCATGTACAGCTGGAAGAACAAAACAAGTTGTTAACCAGACATTATTTATAAAATAACTATATTATTAATATAAAAATCTTCCATTGGTTTTACTTTGCTTTTCTCCTTGTGCAGCACCCCAGCCAAATGGACACTGATGGGATAAAGCTCCGTCGCCATGACGACTGGACAGTAAGAACTGTGTCTGTAGAGCTGCAGATGTTCTGCAGGTGCCTTTATACCGCCACGGAGAAAAGGCGTGGCTGTATGACGCACTGATGGAAACTCTTATCTTCTAGTAAAATAAAATTCCTGCATTGTTCCAAAACCAGCCAGTGTGACATTTACAAAAGTATTTTCCTCCAAGGACTCAAATGGGTCCAACCATCAGGACTGACAGCTTAGACTGTAGGTTTTGAAGAAAACAGGCTTGTTTACATTTAATTTTTGCTCTTAAGCTACTTTTAATTTTTTTTAGCTGTGTTACATAAAACAAATAAACAGAATGGTTTAATCCTGTGCTTAAATTGTTTCTTGCATGATAAGAGAAGAATACACACATTGCGTAATTCTGCGTCATCCAGACAAGATTGAATGAGATGAGTTGAGTAACACATGAAAAGGACCGAACACTCAGTTTGGGCTGACAGCCAACAGGTTTCCATTTCCCTCACACCCACGTCCTCTTACCTGAGGAAAGCCAAAAACTTCTGACAAAATCAAACGTTTAACAATAGATGTTTACACTTAGTGTAATAACAATAAAATGAACCATATGGCTTGCTAAAACCAGCAATATGCCAGCTAAAAGTAGCAAAATGACAATTAGAAGCTAAAAGTAGCAACTGCTTTTATCCCGGATCCTGTTCTTTCTGTCATGATCCAAACCTCATGATCATAGGCGAGGGTTGGAGCACAGGCAGACAAGTAAATCGAGAGCTTTGCCTTTCTACTCAGCACTTTTGTCACCACGACTGACCGAAGCAACACCCTCATTACTGAGGACGACACCCCAATCCGTCAATTCTTCTCCCTCTCCAGCTTACCATCACTCATAAACAAGATGCCCAGTAAACTCCTCCAACTGAGTCAAAACCTCCTCCCTGACCTGGAGGGCCATCCATCCATCCATCCATCCATCCATCCATCCATCCATCCATCCATCCATCCATCCATCCATCCATCCATCCATCCATCCATCCATCCATCCATCCATCCATCCATCCATCATCTTTACCCTCACTGTTGCCCATGTCCAGTAGTCACTGTACGAGAGGTGGGGCACGGCCTGGACAGGTCTCCAGTCCATCACAGGGACACATAGAGACAAACGAGACAAACAACCATTCACTCTCTCACTCACACCTAGAGACAATTTAGAGTTACCAATCAGCCTAACATGCAGGCTTTTGGTCTGTGGGAGGAAACAAACATATTTTTGGTAATCATATGCTGCTAACCGTTTCAGATTTAAAGCTTAGGTCTAATGACATTATTTTATTTTGTAGGAAAAGCCCAAAGCTGCACACTCTGTTCGTTTTAATTGTCTAAAGTTAAAGAGCAGTTCTGCAACAAACTCTTAAGTTGAATTCAGGAACATGTACTTTTGTTTGTGATTGACTGCTGCTGACATCTGGTGTCTGTGGACAAAACTCTGAACTACAGTGAGGAATTAGACAAGCGTACAAACCAGTAAACAACACATGGCTTTTATAATGCAAACACAAATCTTGACATTTAAAGACATCCCTCAAAGTTAAGTTAATCTTGTATGAGTACAGCAAATGGTACATAATACACCAGCCAGTAATTTGTCAGCGTCAACAAGACAAAAAACATAAATTCTATCACACAACAGCCCTGAATATGTTTTCAATAAGCATTTACATGACTGTGGTGGGGTGAAAGGTCAAATTGACTGATAATGACATTGTCCATGGTGTACATGGACGAACAGTTCAATTATGCAGGGACACGAAACTGCAGCGATCAGATGAAGAAATTATCTGGTGATGACTATCCAAACCATTTTATGTTCAGGAAAGTAGACTTTGTGAGTACCACTCAAGGTTTATTTTGTGGAAGTGGTCTTAAAAATGAGAATGTAGAGCTGTATTCTGAGGACATCTAGCTTTAAACTGAGTTGTGGATCGACAGATGGACAATCTAAGACGGGGCTCAAACTTTTTGGGTTCAGGGACCCCCTCATAAAACCCTCATGTTAATTAAATAACTTTCTTCACTTTGTCTCTTTAATGCAAAGGAAATGTGTGTGTAACATAAATACTTAATATCTGTTTTTTAATAGTGTTAATACAGTTTTTATACTTTTAAACATGGGGTATTTTTCATTCCTGACACACTTAATTAACAACACTTTTAATTTCAACTTCCAAAAATTACAGTTTTGAGAAAATTAACAGCATCAAAAACCACTTTAAAGCTTTAGCTATTCACTAAATGAACATAATAAATGTGTTGCCGCTTCTTCAAATTATTACAGAAAACTCTTTACATAAAACTGAACAGAATCACAGCAGCAGTAGTCATACCAAGTAACAGGACTTCATTTGTAAACTGATCCATGCCAGAACGTAAAACACGGGTGGGCTGGCATGGGGATGGGGGGGGGTCTGAGGGTCCTGCTCCAGAAAATTTGTAATAGACGTGATTTCCTGCATTTTGGTGTATTTTAAAGGGTTGTTAAACATTTATGTGCTTGTAAAAAATATAATAATAATAATTATATATATAGAAATATAAAAAAAAAAATATATATATATATAAATATATATATATTTAATTTTGGGGGTTTTTTGGGGTCCCCCAAGCACCGGCTCATGGACCCCTGGGGGTTCGAGGACCCCAGTTTGAGAACCACTGATCTAAGTGACAAAGTGTTTGTCGTTTCTATTTTACTCAATCTGGAGCGAAGACAAGGTTGTGACAAAAGATCAGCTGTGACCTTTGACCCCAAGACCTTGAAGTCTGTAAGGATCATCTTTGACCCTTATAAGGTAAGCTGTGCAGTTTGACTTTTTTATATTATTAATTTGGAGCTCGGACAATTATCCACGGACGGCGTCATATCATAATGTGTCCCATCAGCTGTATAAAACGTTATTAAAAAGTTAATTTTATATGTTTAAATACTTTCCAGTTATGCAGAGACTAGCTATTTTAAATAACAAAATTGAGATTGATTTTTTTTCTTTTGAAATTAAACAACTAAATTGCTTTTATTTTTTAATTAGGCATTTTCTGCTTTTAAACTTTTCTAAGTGTAAATGGCAAGTCTGGTCATTTCAACATTACAGATTAAACGGAGCAGTGAAGATACAGAAAACGCCAAGAATAGAAAGAAAACTTGTTTTTTATTCCATCTGACTCAGTCCTAGCAGAACAATACATCTGCAATTTAGAATAAGACAAGAAATAATTCACATTTCCTTCTTCTATTGCACATTTTCCTTATTTGTTCGGATAAAAAAAAAGAAGTCAGATTAAGGATTCGTCTTCTTTTCATTAGCTTGATTTAATTCCAGCCTCACTCCCACATCAGTCCAGCTGTGAGATAGACAATCAGCCAAACACTTTTACATCAAACCTGCTTAATTTTTTTTTTTCATTGCAACCCATTCTTGGGTTCTAGTTTAGTTGGAAAAATTGGTCTCGACTCCAGTAAGACTCCTATTGGATGATGATCCATAATGCATTCTGGGAGATGTATTATTTTATTCAAACTTTTAGTTCATGATTAAAATGGCAACTCAACTAGATGAATGAATGAATGCTTACTTTGTTTACTTACACTGAGGATTTTATCTTAATTTATCAAGTTATTAAAAATATTTAAATATGAAAAGGTGAGTTATTTTGCCAAATATGCAATAGTTTTAATATATGCTTAATTTATTAGCATTGGATAATGCCAAATTCAAAATTGTAGTTTGATTTAGTCAAAAATGGAAATTAGGACCATCCATCCATCCATCCATCCATCCATCCATCCATCCATCCATCCATCCATCCATCTTTTTCCACAGAAAACAAGAACAAAATTTAAATGCATTTTTAGTTCAACGTTTTCCTGCATATATGATACAATTACAAACATTTGTAAAATGTATGTTTTATTTGCACACAGTGACATTTTGTTAACGTAACCTATAATAAATCTTCAGCTGCTTCCTCAAATAGTGCCCATATCTGTGGATGCTTGAGGTGCGTATGTGGTTCCACTGAACATCTTTTTCCTGGATCTGTATTAACCCATAAAAATAAGCAAAAAAAAAGTGACAGACAGTGAGCTTTACAATTTACCTTATACATATACACTGAACAGCTTGTTTCATTGTAATTTCAGCTCTTTACCTCTTTAAAAAGGGCCACCTTCCAAGCACTAACTTGTGTATTCAAGTGGATCTCCCTGTCATTGATCATCTGCAGGTGGTTTTCATGGCTAGTGTTCAAGGCTTTCATCAATGCATCTGTGTCAGGGAACAGCTAGACACAAAAAGTAGAAATAAAAACAAATCCTGACACCATATTTTGCTGTTGCACACTTGCCTTACAAAGGCTAATGCAAGCATTTTCTATATTTACAGGGACTAACCTGTATGAATAATGGTTGAATTAATATACTGTATGTGTTCTTGTTGTTGTAAACCTACAGTGCTTGATCTCCTATCTTCTGGTATGTCCTCCTTCACATTTGGTTTGGCCACAATCTCCTGAGGTTCAACAATAATTTCTTGCACCTTCTGATAATATTGATCCTCCAGATCTCGCAGCTGATTAAATGTACAACTGAGTAAAAGAAATTAGGATATGAAACATGATAAAACAAATAAGTTACCACCTTGATATTGGCTTGTAATCATATTCAAATAAGTAAAGAACTGGGGAATAATATATATATATATATATATATATATATATAAAGTCAACTTATTTAAATTGCTTTTTTTTGCTAGGATTACCTGGTTGTTTATCTGGTATGCATGATCAACTTTAAGCACAGAATAACTATCAATAAAAAGCATTTTTATTGTATGAAATAATTCATGTCTGTTAAGTTGACCCATGTAAAAAAAGGATATGTCTTCAGTGCAGTTTCCATAAAGTGGCTAGCCATGTCTGAGATAGAGTTGTCAAGCTTAGTGATGTTGTCCTGAAAACAAAAAGAAAGCATCACTTTGGTAAATGTAAAGTAATCAAATGTACTGAAGATGCACTCAAATGCAAACAGTTGCACACGTTTACCTCAAGATTGTTGACCAGCTCAAACTCTACTGTCAGGAGGTCTTTCTGCAGCTGGGTGATTGCATCGTTGCAGCTGTTGATCTTGACTTCAATTAGTGTTGGGTCTGTTACATTCTGAAACTCTGCAATCTTCTAAAAAAAAGTTTAAACTCATAAGATGATCTTTTAAATGGGGGAAAAAAATAAATCAATGTATTTCTGATTTACAGTAGATGCCTTTATAAAATGTCAATCTTTCTACTTGCCTCTCTGTGCTCCTGATCAAACTCTGCAAGTATCTTCAATGCCTTCTGCCTGTAATACGCCTCAGCCTCTTTCTGACCAGTGAAGAAAGCGTTCAGCTCTGCCTCTCTTCGTTTGTGCTCCTCCAAACCAAAGTCAAAGAAACACCTACACAACTCCACCGCTTGGTCCTCAAAAGTACATGCAATGTCAAGGTAACTAAGGAGAGATTAAATTAATGTAAAATTATATTTTTTTAAAAAGGCAAAAAAAGATATGTTTGAAACAGAGGAGCCACTCCTGGAAGGAACTGTGGTTTCACTGCTTCTGGATCATCCTGAAACATGCTGTTAAACAGACTGGACCCATAGATGTCCTCCACAAAGGCGTCCTATGGAAAACAACTATTAGTAGGTCATATGAGCCCACTGGAAGAACTGCATTAATAAATGCGGACTTTTTTCATACATGGTGAAGTTTGAACTCAGCTTCCAGCTTTTGCTGAGCTTCATTTGTTTGTAGCTTTTGCAGCTCTTCAGGTTTAATTTCCTCAAGGAGAAAATGATACTTGATGAATGCTTCTTCTCTCTGTACAAACAAACACACTTGATTCACTTACTATATGCAGTATCTATATCACTGGGACTTAAATGCTCATTTAAAAGAAATAACAGTAACAGAGTCAATTGTAACTTGGGTTGGTGTCAAAATACTTACTATCTCAGAGTTTATTAAAATGTTGTCTAGGAGGGTCAGGCTAGGCAAGCAGGCAATAATAAAAGATGTGTAATCTCCCTCGTTAGAGACAGGATTTCCAGTCATGTTGAGTTTGAAGAGCTTCTTAAACCTCGAGAGATAGAGCACCTTTGAAATGCATCACACATGCAGGCAATTATAAACATTTTGTATCAATAAACTCTTCAAATGCAATAAATGAATTTCTCATCATTCTTTTTTGTTGGGAAAGAAAAAAGAGGCGTACATTGTCCAGCTTTTTGATGTTGTTGTTTCCAACAAAGAGGAGTCTCAGGTTTTCTAGAGTGTCCATATTCTCAAAGACAGAGATTTGGTTGAAGGACAAATTCAGCACCTCAAGCTTTTGCAGAGCATCCAGGCCCTCGATCTTTGTAATCTTGTTGAATGACAGATCTAAAAGACAGATTTAAAAACATTGAGCATGTGTCAACCAAAATGCCAGTGCAAACATAACCTTTACAACAAAACATTACATGTATTGGAAAAAAACAAAAACAATAACTTACTGAACCAGGTCAGATTAGTCAGACCTTCCAGGCCTTCAATCTTCTCTATAATGTTGTTGCTCAGATCAAGCCTCACCAGAGATGTAAAATCCTGCAAAAGGACAATCTTCTGGATGTCTGTAAACAAAATCATCTTATGCATAACTAAACTAAATGCACCAAGCAAAAGTAAAATGTTCATGCTGCTTCTTACTTTTGTTTGCCAGGCCTAAATGAAGAATGTCACTTCTTCTTTCACAGCATGAAATAAAAACTTCTTCTGAGACAATGACTTGGAAATTGCCCAGAGCCTGTTCAATTTGGATGACTTCATTCTTCACGGCATCCTGCAGGACCTTCTCATTTAATGCTATTGGCTCCATGTTTCTCTTCAAAATAATGCTATAATAAATAATGTTATATAAACTCTGTTATAAACAGCAAATGATAAAAATTTTTGGCTTGTTTTGGTCAAATTGATCTCAATCCATAAATAAAAACTCAGATTGTAGATTAGCTTCTTTTATAGATTTATCCAAAATTTGATAAAATAAATTGTATTACTTACTACTGAGAACAGGAGAACGTAAATACCAATGTTTTGTTTTCGTTTAGTCAACGTGTTGTACACTGCGTTAGGCTCAAATCCTTGTTGTTTAGACACAGTTACTTAGCAACAAGTTGATTCTCAGATGCGTTCATGAAAACGTGGTAAACAAAAGAGCACTCCCACATCGCCATGATTTTAGTTTGATTTGTAAAAATGTTAAAACAACTTAAAACATGTATTTCCACAAAACTCATTATTGGTTTAATTTTTCATGTTTTAGTATAATCTCGGGTATAATCTGAGCAAAATAGCAAGATCAAATCAGATTTTTATACAGGCAAAAAAAAAAATCAAAACCGTTTTAACAATGCTAGGAAAAGTTTCTTGAACATAGCTCAATGACGCTAAACATAACTGAAACTAAATTTAGCCAATAGAATCAAAGATTTAATTTTTCTTATCCAATAGAAACGATCAAGAGGCGGGGTTTAGGGTGTACCGCCTCCGGGCCTCAGTCTGCCTCTGTCAATTCCTAGCGGATCGTTTGTTGTCAAAATGGAGTTTTTACTTGGAAATCCTTACAGCACTCCCGTGGGACAATGTGTAGGTATGTAAAACATCAGCGTTATGATTGGGGGTGTAGTGTTTTGTGCCTCATGAGTAGTTTAAGAGTGTACTAATTTAAAATAACACGAAAAAGGGAGCTCGCGCTGGCATCTTCCGAGCAAACGTCATCCGCTTGGAATGAGCTATCGGCTAATGCTAGCCAACATACCCAGATAAGTTAGTCAGTTACAATGACCAATATCACAATAAATCACCTCTAGATTTGACAATGTTAGGTAGTTTTTAAAGCAGTAAATCACACGCACGCGCACACACATCACACACAATGTAAACATGGTGACTATGTCTAGACTGGGCTCGCGTGAGTTCTTTTTTTTAGTTTAAAACTTTCTGCTGTCAACATTTGTCTTTTATATCATTTACATTTTGTGATTACATTCATATTTACCTCTGGCTTTTAAAACAACTTCCCACCCATCATTTTGTAAATGTGCAAACGCTGACAGTAGCCCTCCTGTATGTTTTGAATGCACTGCCACGCTGTTTGTCAATTCAAGAGATGAGAAAGACAGTTTAATTAATTCATCACTGATGATTTAACCTTAAGACACAAATCTATAACTTCACCTAGTCTCATTCTGAATGCATAAACTGTGTTGATTTGAGACGTATGCTAATCTTTATGAAGTACTGTACATATACAAGAAGTAGTAACATTTGTGTAGGTGTTACCATAAAAAGACAAGGCTAAGTAAAGCTCAGACTCACATTCTTAATTCTTAGTTTGCTTGTTTTTAAATATTTTAACTATATGCTTATAAAAATTGGATGGAAGGCTTCAGAATAAAGCATCATCTCTTGCTTTTTACACTTGCTTTTATCTATTTCAGTTTGATGGTACGTTTCAATTGTTACATCTTGAATTTCAGCCTTTCACAGATCTCTGCAGCTGAGTTTATTCATTTATTTATGTGTTTGGTTTTTTTTTTGTGTGGTGATATGTACACCTCAGCAGAGGGGGGGAAATAGTCATCCCACCTGGCAAAACGAAGGGTGGTATGTGTCAAGTCTTTCACACCCAAGCTGCCAGGTGATCCAAAAGTTTACTATTACTGAGGCATGTAGATGAGAAAAGACAATTGTAAATAACAATAAAAAAAATACAAATAGTGATATGGACAAATCTAATACTTTAACATTAAAAGGAAGAAATGAGGGGCTTAAAAGTCCACATTAAAAGAGAAGGACTCCAGCTTTGTTGGCAAGTGCATGGTGCAGCTTGGCACCATCAGAGCCATGTGATAGACTGGCTTCTGTTGTGTCGTGTCAATTACTGGACCTAGAGGGTGCAGGAGAGGTGACACAGCACCATGATGAATTAGTAAAGCTCCTATTGTTCATTGTTATTTTAGCACATTTTACTGTTTATTTTACTGTTTCCTCTCTTACACTTGTCTTCTGCCTCGCAGTAACACACCAATCCTCCTAAGGAGCTTACATGGGACATGGCAACGGAGAGAGTTGTGGTTAATTCTTCCAAACTCAAGTTCTATGTGCTTCACAGTCCATCACAAATGCATTTTAAAGGAATTTTCCAGTTGTAAAGTCACTTAAAAACTAAAAAATGTCACTTTGTGTTTGTTGAATCTGTTGACAACAGATTAAAACACTAGTATATATATATATATATATATATATGTGTGTGTGTGTGTGTGTGTGTGTGTGTGTGTGTGTGTGTGTGTGTGTGTGTGTGTGTTTGAAGCCAACACAGTTTGAAACAATAGCACGGAGTGTGAAGGGGACGGGAGGCTTCTGTTTCTGACTGTCATGGCTGTTATGTGCTGAGCACCCAGCTGCATCACACCCACAGCTGATGGCTTTTTCCTCTGACACGTTGGTTTCCTATGTTCCAGTTAACTATTTTTTCTTTCCAGTGTTTCCCCTACCGTTATGCAGGCGGGGTGCACCACCCCGTCAACAGAACTGAGCACCCCGCCTACCAAACTGCACTTGCCCCCATACCCCCACCTGGCACTGACATATCACTAAGCTAGCAGCACAAAATACAGGCTCTCTAGCTAAAAAGCCGAAAGCAGCACTCACATGGCCTCTTCCCTCATGTTGAACGCGCCCCCCCCCCCCCCGCTCAAAAACTGTTAGTACAAGCTGCGCTCAGACATGTCTCCTTCCCCCCCATCAGCAAAAATCATGGATGAGATGAGCACCCCGCCATGGCAAGCTAACTAGGGGAAACACTGCTTTCTGATAATTTACTAAAGTTCACATCAACGAGTGGTGGCCTAGAGACCCAGCAATATGAAATAAAAATAAATTTTAAAAAACAGTATCTAGTTTTTATTTTTGTAGATCTTGTTGTTGTTTTTTTTTTTACAGGGCATCCACATAAAAATAGGATAATTTTAAAGTACCTGTAATGTAAAACCAGATCAACTAGGATTTATTTTCACTATAGTAAATCTAAAAAGTACTATTTTGCTGGCATATTTTATGTCATCTGTTCATTTTGATGATGAATTAGTCACTTATTGTTTCAGAAGCACATTTTCGTCTTGGCGAAACATATTTCTTGTGAATGGATCCTGCATGAACTTGATATCTTTGTTTGCTTGTTTATGTACAGGATTTCTCACAAACAGCTTCTACCTTGAAGCTGTAACACTCATATATCCCTAACTAGAAAAATCACTGTAATGCCACTTAAATTGGACATTTGACACTTTATCTGTGCTGCTGATTATCCATGCTGCTGATTTTGTACCCGTAAGCTGCTGTATTCATACCCATCTACTAACAACAGACTCATGTTCAGGCTGCTGTTTAATACACCTTATTTATATTAGATGATTATTGTTTAGTGTTTAGTTGATCTTAGATCCTTGTATACTGTTTCTTTTTTATATACTTTATATTTTTGCTATTTCTAGGTGTAACTGGGACCTTGTGCACACAATTTTGGTTCACCACATGTACCACATGTGATACGAATGATAATAAAGAACCTTGAACTTTGAAATAACCTAATTAGTTTTAAGTTTAAATGACTTCTTCAGAGAATTGTGCCAAATGGAAAACAAACGTTACGTACAATGTTACATCGCTGCACCTTGCCAGTGTTATCAGCTATAATACAAACACCTTTCATGCTCTATCTTCTGTCATCCATAATACTTTAGTCGTATTAGTCGATTTTAATGGACATTTTATTGAATGGTTTGCAGCTTTATTCTATGCAGGAAACCACCAGTTGTCTACGTCATAAAAGCCACATTAGAGTAAAATCAGCAGCGCTCGTAAACATGGTTGTTTTATTAAAAAAAGAAAAGGTAAAGCACAATACTTTTAACATTCTGGTTGTTTCCTGTGTGTGTTTTTTTTCAGAGAGAGCCACAGATGGAGGGTTACAGAGTGAAGACTGGACCCTCAACATGGAGATCTGCGATATCATAAATGAAACGGATGAGGGGTGAGCATCAAATTTATTGGAAAATCAGATCCATCGTAATCAAAAATTTTCCGTCCCGTTACTCTGCAGGATTGCGAAAGATATATATTTGGTCCTAAAACACACAGTTTGGTATAAAATAGTCTCTGTCTGGTTGCAGACTGACAAACCAAACAACATAATGGTTGCTGCTCTCATCACACACAACCTTTTGTTTTCCTTCTGTGAATCTGTTTGGCTGAATGAATAGTTTCAAATCTTGGATCGGCCTCCTATAGGAAGAAACACCTGATTTACAGTAATCTGTAAGACCATCAAACCACATTATTTGCACTTTTTAGAGTTTTTATTATCACCCACAGCTAAAGGTAATTATGTTTTTAACGTGTTCGTTTGTCTGTAGTGTTACCAAAATTAATGAATCAGAAAGAAGATTTTAAGAAGCTCTCAAAAGTAAACACAGATATACATCTACAGTTCTTTAAGTTTAGGAGTCAACCTAATTCAAGATGGCCACTGCAGCCTATTGAGCTTAGCCAACACAAAAATGGCTGTAACTCAGTCAGTTTTACAGATATGGAGCTAAAATTTGGTGTGGTAGTAGCTGCGAGTCACTTGTGAGACTTATCACAAGCACTAACAAATCTCTCTAGAGCTCGCAATATCGTATGGAATTGTGCATAGCTTCATTTATAAGCTTTGATCAAAACAGCTGTAATTATGATGAGTTTAGTCTGAAATCCTGGCTGGCATCCCTTGCACATGTGTCAAACTCAAGACCCAGGGGCCAAATGTGGCTCTCACTGACATCTTATCTGGCCCCCAAGATGATATGTTAAACGTAAAATACTTTTATCACTTTAATTTTTTTCAGTAATCTTTGATTATGATGTCAAAAGTGCAACAGAGAACGTCAAATGAGACCGATTTAAACTTTCGTTGAGGAACCTGCAACCAAGAAAAGATGTTGGGTATCTAACTTGAGTTCATGTAGATTCTGAAAATGGCCCTTAGTTTGAAAAAGTTTTTAATTTCGACCCCCATTTGTAAGTGAGTTTGACACTCCTAGCTAGGCCTTTCATTATTGCTCTGAAGAATTATTGAGACAAGAGAAAAACGAAACACAATCACTTGCTTGTGATTAAGGTATCTTTGAGAAATAAGCTGCATTTAACACAGAGTAAGGAATTATTTTAATTGCCATTGCAGTTCCAGCAAACAAAACCTTTCTGGTGAAATGATCAACTAAGACGATTGTGTAAAACAGTTTGTGCAATCCGTTTCACATTCCTCGTGCCTACGCTCCCGCTTGTCTTGACAGGAGACACGTGGCTTTCTCTGCCACCTCAGAGCAAACACAGAATAAACCAAAACACGAAACATCTTGTCTTCAAGATGTTTAGTAAGAAAAACAAAACGGGCGAACTCCGGGGTTAGAAATTCGTAAGACTCTGAATACGCTCTTAGCAACTTTTGTGTGATGTTTTCCTAACACGTATGACGAGTGCTTTCAAACGACCAGATATCTAAAGGTGTAACAACAGATGGTGCGCGCTGAGCAAACACAAAACAGATGCACCCACCAAATAACAAAAGGCAAACTGCAGCAAAGTGTCAGAAACGAAATGGTTTCTTTTTAACGCGATTATGTGCAGCAAACTTTACAGGGAAAATCTAATGCTGACTTTATTCTCCATCTTTGTCCATCTTCATCTGTCTCAACAGTCTTGCTAAGTACCTGTACTGTTTAAAGGAGCTCATAAAGACTTAGCATCATGGTTCATCTTCTGTGAGGAGATGGGGAGGATGAGGCAGATAGCCAGCCTGAACACCTCATGCGTGAACAGCTTTGATCTTGCCTTGGGAGAAACATTTTGCAGCCATGCAGAAATAAAAAGGCAGAGCCAGATGGTGTGACAGTTCTCCACTTCCTCTGTCAAATAGTTACACTGACAGACAGACTGGCATCTGTTCCTGTGGCACAGAGAGGAGTTTATTCCAACAAAGTCGGTGGCGTTACGCTCGCTCGCAGCAGGGGTCGCCTAATGCAGCTGGAACTGCTCTGCTGTTTTTATTTCCAGGCCAAAGGATGCCATGCGGGCGCTGAAGAAGAGACTGAGTGGGAACAAGAACTACAGAGAGGTTATGCTGGCACTAACGGTAGGAAGTTTATATATCCAGCTGCCCCCACAATAAATGCATTCAACACATCAGTTTTAAAAGACACAAATTGGCCTTATCTACAAAAGCAAAAAAAACAAAAAAACACCTGAAGTTTTAAAAACTAACTTTAGGGAAAATAATGTGTGCAAACATAAAAAGCAGGGTTCTAATTAGGGATGTACGATATTATCGGCATGGTATCGGTATCGGTCAATATTGGCGATAAAATTAAATATCAGACATCGGCCATTCCATCAAAACAACGCACCAATATAAAAGGCACTGTTATTTATATATTCAGTATATATAAGACGCTGTTTTTGTATGACAACCCAGTGACAAGGATGCCTGCAGCGCCAGCACAACGTTTTAGATTTGTGAAAATTTACAAATTTGCACTGTTCGAATGTTGTCATTGCGTTAGAGAGAGTAAACGTCGAGAATAAATTTGACATTAAACATAATTCAAGCTGAAGTGTTGCATCATTTTCAGACCCCTTTTTGGCATCTGCATTTAGAAGCAGGACAAATTGACAAAGATCATGCAGAATAAAGTAGTATTTTAATTCCACAGTAGAGAAAGCTTTGTAGCCTCTGTAAATAGGTCAAGGAGGAAAGATATCGTTATTGGTATCGGGTATTGGCCAAATAAGTTTTAACATATCGACAGATCGGATATTGGCCAAAAAATCCAATATCGTTCATCCCTAGTTCTAATAAAAACACATGCTTTTTTTTATTAATAATTTATCTTTATAAGCTATAGGCTATATAATAATTTATATACAATCAGCTTGTAACACCAATAAATAGTTTGAAGACCCTCAAAATCACAAGTGGTAGAAGGAGGGAAGCAACAAGAAAGAAGCAAAGGATCAAAAGTTTTCTCCTTTTCCTCATTTTAAAAAAGGTCAGACGTTTGTATCCGGTGCTCTTTCCTTCTGCAGGTATTGGAGACCTGTGTGAAGAACTGTGGTCACAGGTTCCACGTCCAGGTGGCCAACAAAGACTTCATTGATGGCATTCTCGTCAAAATCATCTCCCCCAAAGCCAATCCTCCTACAATCGTGCAAGACAAAGTGTTGTCTCTCATACAAGTAATTCAGCTTTGCCTTTTCTACCCACTGTTTTCTAATAATTGTCCTTGCAACCTTATATCATATCAGTTTTCCCTTTTTAAATGCCCCCCAAATGGATTTAAACAGTGTGAGGGGAATTGTCTTTGAGTCTGTGTATCTTGTAAATATTTACTGGCATTTATGACAAGAGATCCCAGAGGTTTGTCTCGTGCGTCTTTGTTGTGACAGTCCTGGGCAGACGCCTTCAGAAGTAGTCCTGATCTAACTGGCGTAGTCCACACCTACGAGGAGCTGAAGAGGAAAGGCGTTGAGTTCCCGATGGCTGACCTGGATGCCTTGTCTCCCATTCACACGCCACAAAGAGTGAGAAGAAATGTGCTAACACACTCAAACTTCATTTAAATGCTTAATATTCAAGGATTTTATTTGGAAACACAGGGTACACCAGAAGTAGACCCAGCCTTGTTAAAGTACCTCGCTCCTGCCTCATCTGCTGCTGCTACTCCTAAGCCTGGCCCACCCACTCCCGCTGCCACACCGGCCTCCAGCATCCCTAACCCCATTACAGCGACCCCCGAGCAGGTGAGACACATTCCCCGTGACATCACTACAGCAGTTTTTATTCACCGCTTCACAATAAAATTTGGAGTTACCAAAGGAAAGCAGATTGAGAGGCATATTTTATCATGACTAGCTCTACCTGCTGCGCTGCAGAAACTGAACAAACCTGTTTTAATGTGCTCGCAGATTGCCCGTCTGCGGAGTGAGCTGGACGTCGTGAGAGGAAACGTTAAAGTCATGTCAGAGATGCTAACTGAGATGGTTCCTGGTCAGGAAGATGCGTCTGATTTAGAACTGCTCCAGGTAAAATTCAACCGTGGAAACACCTTCAGAATCACACACCTGTGCGTCTGTCTGACATGATTTAGATTGTTTTATTTACCAAAGCTTTAATGTTAGAGTAAACCTAAATAAATCTACATATGTTTTTACCTTTTGTGCCGCTGTGGCTGATTAGTTAGAGCAGTCGTCATCCAATGCAAGAGTTGGGGGTTCGATTCCACCAGCAGTCACATGTTGAAGTGTCCCTGGGCAAGACACTGAACCCCTCATTGCCTCCGATGTGTGTCCCATCGGTGTGTGTGAATGTGATAAAGCTCTGATTAGTCTTTGTATAGATCTAGTAGAGTGCTATGAATGGGTACATGAGGGCACAGATTGTGTTGTAAAGAGCTTTGAATATCTTGATAAGATAGAAAGGTGCTATATAAGTACAGTCCATTTACCATTTTGTGTGTTTTTTTATTTTTTATTATTATTATTATTATTATTGCTTCCTGTTGAAAAATGGAAAGGTGGGCAAAAATGTTTTTCCTGTTGCCAAAATATCTCGTGACTCACTGTACAACTTTTAATGAAACTTTCAGAACGTAATCATTTGATTCAAGGTTCTTTATTGTCATTTGCATCACATATGGTACATGAGGTGGAATGAAATTTTGTACCCAAGGTTCCAGTTACACCCCAAAAATAGCAAAAAAATAAAATACAAGTATAAAACGAAACAGTATTCAAGGATCATATACCCTAAACACTAATAATGTAAAATAATATGGTGTATTAAACAACAGCCTGAGCACGAGTCTGTTGTGAGCAGATGGATATGAATACAGCAGCTTAAAGGCAAGAAATCAGCAGCATGGATAATTACACAACATTGTGTGTTGCTGTGTAAACATACACAACAAATTAACTTTTGGAGTGGATTTTATTTCATTTTTTCTCATTTTTATTTGTTAGTTATATGAAAATATTTGAGATTAAAAAATAATACAAGCAACAAAAACAGCTAAATAGTAAAATTTTTCTCCAAACATCCAAAAGATACTCTTCTACAAAGCCATTCATATTATACTGTGAAGCGTTGAAGCACGTTTCAGCCACCAGGGGGCGCCATATCTTCAGAGTTCTCGCAGCTCATCGAGAGATGTGAGGTGCTGTGGTGAAATTCCTCTAACTGGCATTCAGGAGCATTACAGATACAGACTCCACTGTAGAGTTTAATCTCCTTGAGCCAAATCCACTCAAGTATTCGCATCGGCTCCGAGGATCTGGCGATCTATATAAATAGAGTGATTTTGTTGTTTTTCAATGCTGTTCTCATATTCACAAGAAACAAATGAGAAGTGTTACGATGAACGTGTCTGACAAAACAAATCGTTTACAGCGGTTTCGTTTGTTCCTGCGCGGGCGTCTCCTCAGATCACAAGTTTGTCTTCGTCTCTCTTCTTGACCGATCTGTTGTTGCGTTGACGTGTCCAGGAGCTGAACAGGACGTGCCGGGCCATGCAGCAGAGAGTGGTCGAGCTGATTTCGCGCATTTCCAACGAGGAGGTGACGGAGGAGCTGTTACACGTCAACGATGATCTCAACAATGTTTTTCTTCGTTACGAGAGGTGCGATCAATCCTTCAGGGGACCTTCTTTTGTTTGTTTTAGCGTTCGATCAGAAGACGTGCTGTAAGCAGAGAAAAACAAAAACTTTTGAGTAAACGTGCTTCATGCACATGAAATATTTCAATTTGGGCGAAAACAATCGTCACAATATAAAGAAGTGGGCATAAAACATTCTTTTGATGCTCAAATGTGTTTGTTTTGATTTTTTTTTTTTTGAAGATGTGTAAGCATTTGAAGCGCAAAGTTTTACAGTGCTTTGTGTTGCTCACAGGTATGAGAGGTACAGGTCAGGAAGGGCTGCACAGAACAATGGGGTGAGTAACAAAACGCATAAAAAAACAAACATCAGGTTGGTTTTTTTTGTATTTGCTTCTGTTCTGCTTTTTTTTTATGTCTACATGTGCAATTTGTCCAAACATAAATGTTCTGTCAAATTCTTTTACAAATAATTTCAGTTAATTGACTCTTACTGCATGCATAACCGATCACAAAACACTGAAAACATTTTTAGCTGCGAAACTGGTCCAGCAGCACACGTCTAACTGGATGCGAGTCTTCCTGTTCGAGACATTTAACAAGGAAGTGGAGCAGCGTATTGTGGTGCATTTGCATTTTGTTTATATTTATGATTAAAATTTTCTGTGTGCTCTGTCTGTTTGTGTTGCTGCTAGCTGACAGAGGCAAGTGACACCGGCACGGCGCTCTATCCCAGCTTTTGCACCGGACTGAACAAAATATTAGCGCATCAGATATTTAGAGTTAGACCTAAATGACAAGTTAGCATTACTCCTAGAAGTTGTGTTGTTTTGTCTTTTTTTGTTCATGTTTTCCACTCTGTTGTAAGTTATGTAATACATCTGTGACTTTATGTTAATTATTTAAATGAAAACATTAATCCTAATTTAATTAATCCCAACCTGGCACTGAGTTGTTTAATCTCTTTTGTTTTCCGTCACCTCTCAGATGTTAACTGAGGCCACAGAAGACAACCTCATAGATCTGGGCCCAGGATCGCCTGCTGTAGTCTCACCCAGGGTCACGTCCAGCCCCCCGCCCAGCTCTGCTGCGGGGGCCACGGCTTCCCCAGCCCGCAGCTCTGCTACTACCTCTCTCTCCACTGCACTGGCTAGTCTTGGTAAGAACAAGACCATCAATGGGTTTATATATCAAGTGGTAAAAAATACTTTTGGCTCAGAAAAATGACCTTCGATGGTTGAGACTCTCTTCACACTCAGGCTGATGGTGGTTTTGGTTAAAATCAGAATCAGTTTATTATTGCCATGTCAATGAACGAGGTTCACAAACTAGGAATTTGCTTCGACATAAAGGCGCGAATAATAATAAAGTAAAATAAAGTAAAAATGAAAACATAACATAAACATGTGTACACCCATACAATAAAAAAAAACTTGGAAAACAGTACAGATGGAGTATTCAATTATAATACAGATGTAATGTGACCAAAGCAGAAATTATGAGGTAGCATTATGAGTGTTCAGGAGTCCAACAGCAGAGGGGAAGAAACTGTTCTTATGGCGGGAGGTTCTGGTCCGAATGGACCGAAGCCTCCTGCCTGAGGGGAGTGGTTCGAACAGACCGTGTGCAGGGTGAGCAGGGTCAGCTGTGATCCGACCTGCTCTCCTCACAGTCCTGGGGACGTACAGGTTGTGGAGGGATGGAAGGCTGCAGCTGAGCGCACAACGCGCTGCAGTCTGAGTCTGTCCCTGGCAGTGGCCCCGGCGTACCACACCGTGATGGAGGAGCTGAGGATGGACTCGATGAAAGCCGTGTAGAACTGCACCATCAGCTTGGCCTTCTTCAGCTGTCATAGGAAGTACAGTCTCTGCTGGGCCTTCTTGATGAGGGAGCTGATGGTCGGCTCTCACTTGAGGTCCTGGGTGATGGTGGTGCAGAGGAACCGATCAAAAATATATTTAAAAAAAAATCAAAAATATATGTAACAATAAGTTGTTAAATGAATTATTTTTTGGCAACTAAAGTTGCCTGTTTGTATTGCCAGCACTGTGTGTGTATGCTGCTCTCTAACATCTGCCATGTTTGGAGTCTGCAGGTCTGCAGCAGAATATAAAACAGGCCTGTCATTGCTAGAAGTCCTCATGCTGGTCTTTAGGAAGTCTCTTCACTCAAGTATTTAGATTCAAATGTACTTTTTCTGCTGCTTTTAGTTTGTGCAGCACAAGAGCTGAGCAAAGTCATCGTCTGTTACCAGTTGCATTTTTTCTGCTTTTATTTTTTACTGACTTTATTGTTTTCCGATCATTTTCTTCATAATTCTCCCCACCCCCCACACACCCCCACTAATTTGTATTTTCCCCTGTCTTGCTCCAGATGTAGGTTCAGACAGTGTAAGCGGCACTCTGTCGTCTCTGTCGACACACAACAAGGACGACTTTGACATGTTTGCTCAGACCAGGAGCAGCTCTCTGGCTGAACAACGTAAAAAGTAGGCCTTCGTGTCACTTTACTTCTGAGGCAGCACAAACCTTCCCATGTTATTACAGGGTTAAATGGATTTAGCCAAATTTAAGTCCTTAAATGGCTTTAAAAAGGTTTAAATTCATATCTTAGTGGCATTAAATACTTTTCATTTGTTTAAAAAAAATGACATGAGTGATTTATTAGAGTAACGTAAAAACCCTTTTGTAACGCTGTGCTCAGGTAATGCTGGTTACTAGCATGGTAGTTTTCCAGTAGGACTAGTTTTTGGTACAGTCTTTTGTGAACTATGTATTGAAATAATTTATTTACTTATTTAGTAACCCTTTTTTAACCAGGCAAATTTCACTGAGATCACAGATTTCTTTTACAAGGGAGGCCTGAGCCTAACAGTGTCAGTAAAAATATACACACAGACATGATGATGCTCCACTGTGATGTTTGTTTAAATAAGTTTGAAGTGAAAAGAAGAGCTTGTTAATAAGTAAGACACATAGTGTATGCATTCATTGTCAATGCCATCGAAAAGGGCATTCAAATAGCACTTTAAAACAATCATTTGAAGTTTATGCATTCACTGTCGACGGCATTGCAAATGCTTAAAAATGGCATTGAATTGGCATAAAAAGCATTAAATTTGATTGATTTCTGCAGAAACCTTGTATTATTTAGTGTTTCCTTTACTAAATCTTGTGGACGTGTAGTAATATTCACTTTTACTATATAAACTGAAATCCCCACCTGGACACTTCGGCTCTGGTTATTTAATAGTTTATTCAAGCTTCACCAATTTTTAATGGTATTTTCTTGCCATTCATTTTTAAACAGGTCTCTCTTGAAAATGAGTCCTCGTGACTCAGCGAGACTAACCTGTATAAATAAAGGTTGAATGAATTTTTAAATTAGGCCTTTTTAGTAACGTGAATCGGTTCTGGATTTTGTAATTAGCGTAGAAGTGGTACATTGTGGTGTTAACACAAACATTTGTACCTTATACAATTTTACCAGTGTCATTAAATTTATCGGCGCTACAAACCCTGTTTTTCCTTTTTTGCATTTGACAAAAGAAGAAGTAAACAAAAGCATAATCTTGCTAACTTTGGAAAATTATGTGTTTAATGTTGCCAGGTGGCCAAATATCACTATTCCAAAGTGTCTCAATCTGTCTTGTGCTTTTGTGTAAACATATTTTATACTTGTTAGCTGTCAGTAATGGATCTTCTGTATAATTTTATTGTTTATGTGCACAGTGTAAAGTATGAAGACCCTCACGCTCTGGGTGGCCTAGCTTCTGCTTTAGATGTTAGACAACAGAACGCAACCGGGGTGAGTACATCGAAACATGCAGTTTGATTTAATTTCGTCTTGTTTAGAGAGTGAGGATATTTTAGGATGTTTCCCAAAAGCCTCTGAAGACTCCCTTCATGTGAATGAGCGTTAAACTGTATAGTGTTTTTATTCTGAATACTTTAAACAGAAATATGCAGTTTTTGATCTTGCGCTAATTATCTGAAATGTGCTGTTTGTCCGTACTCTTATCAATTAAATAGAGATAAATGTTTAAGTTCTAGCAATTGGTTAAACAAAGAAGCAGCTTCTGTAGGTGATTCAACTTCATTTGTCTGGATTCAAGTTGAAAAGCAAACACTCACAATCAGCTTTCACATAAAGTCAAACTCTGAGGTCGCTTCAGGGTTTTTCTATTTCTTTCTGTCTAAGCAAACGTTTCAGTAGAGGTTATCAGTTGGTACACAAATGGTTCTGAAGTCTGAGGCAGCGCTCACACAGACACACACACACACACACACATATCTCCTGGGCTGCGGTCTTGTAATCCAGAGTCTGCAGGTTTGTGTCAGGAAGGGCTGTAAAACGATTGACAAATCATTTATGCGAGTTCGCTCATTGTGGCCCTCCCCTGCAGAAGGGAGCAGCCGAAAGAAAAACAACAGCCAAATCAAATCTCTTCTGTTCATTTTTTTCATCTTCACCTCTTTATGGAATGTCCTTTGGCCATTTTTTCCTGTTTTCTTTATTTATTCTTTACGATAGTCATCTCTCTTGCACATTTGACCTCTCCTCTGTCTTCTTTCTCTGGACTGTGTGCTTTGCTGTGGTGGGGCCTTTCTTCTCTGTGTAAGGTCTTATTCTGTTGTTGATTCAGCTGAGGGTTAAAGGGGATGAAAACCCAGCAGATCAGGAGCTGCCCATAGACAGCTGGCTTATTACCCAAGGAATGGTGAGGACTCTACCCACAGTGTGTCCTCCTCTCCTCCATCATGTTTTTTTTGCCTCATCTCACTACTCTCTTCTGAAATCCTCAATCAATCCCACTAACAATGTTTTCTCCCCTTTGATCATTATCCTCCATGTCTAGTTCAGATGTACTCTAGTGTTGGGCAAAATGATGATTCATAAACCACCTGCACTGCTGGAGTTTTCTTTTCTTTTATTCAAACTTTATTAATTAAATATATTAACAAGGATTGCACCGATTGCTTAGCAGGGACCTGAATCTGTTGATTTTCTTCATGAGCTGTGACTAACGCTCATTAATCACATTTTCTTTCCTGGTCCGTGAACACAACATAGCTAAGCAGTTATGGCAATAGCACATCTTCATTATAACAAAAGAAGCACAAGAGGCGTAAAAAGTTGATCAAACTGAATTTAGATTTTCTACCAGGTAAATATACAGTTTATTTAATGCTCACTAAAACATGGACTGAGGTTTTATTGTATCTGATATTAATATTTGTTGATGGTTGAGTGATCTAGTACATTTTATGTTTGTTTTTTAATTAAAAAAAAAAACAGAAAAGTTAAGTGTAATTTGTTTCTTGGAGCAGCTGGACTGTAATTCATTTCTTTTGTTTTGTACAAACGCCTCTGTTCAGTAAATTAGTTTTTTGTTGTTGTGGAGAAATGGTTATTTTATTATAAATGTTTTTTTATGAGCACACAATAAAATGTTCAGCTTTACTAGACATCATAAATCTGTATCAGTGCAGAAAACTGCAATCGGTGCATCTTTAATAAAGAATAATGTTTCTTTTTAGTGATTATCACTGTTTCAAGAGCTCGTTCATGTTGCCCAACTCTTTTGTACTTCTTTGGAAGGAGAGTACTCATAACTAACGCTCACCATAATACAACCTTTTCTTCTTAGATGTAACGAGTCACGGGAGCTTAGCTCGGCTCCATCATGTATAAAAGAGTGGAAATAAATGTGCTACTCAGCAAAATCAGACTGATTTTAGTAAAAGAATGAAGTCATTCGGAAATCAAAAATTAAACATTTAGCTGGAAATGTTCCGAAGCAACAAAAATAATAAAACTGTGGAATATATTTTCAGTGTAACTATACAAATAATTAAACTATTTGATCATTAAGTACCAGTAAAATATAATCTTCAGGTCCATGACCCAGTTCTGTTGTTAAAATTGAGTTAAATTGGTGTCCAGACACACACAGAAAACATCTGGAGCATCATGAAAAGAAAATATCTACAAAATAAAGCTTTTGGTGTTCTGTTTTTGTACTGACTCCAGGATTTAAACCAAAAATAAAACTTTGTTGCTGTGTTGTGGTGAGTTTTATCACTTAACCCCTTAAAGTCTGTAGCTTTAATACTAGTGATTAATAATAGATCCACTTTTTAACCAGAAATACATTCAACTAATCAAGAAATTGTTAGGTTTATAATTTGTAACCATTAAATTCAATGTAATATATTCTCCTTTTTTTAAAACAGCTGTCTTAGTGTGCAGTTTTTTTTTTTACATCTTTTCCCTCTTCATACAGGTGTGTGATCTTTCCCTCCTGTTTTTTCCTATTTTCTACTTTACTGCATAAATTGTGATCACACAAGGAAACGCTAATATTCGAGTAAACCATGATTATCTCAACCATCAGTTCACTTTCAATTGTGGGCTGCATCGTAAATTAAATTTAGCATGTTTTTTTATTTTTAATTTTGTGAACATTAACTTTTACTTTTAGCAGAAACATTTTTTTAATCACAGTCCATGTTTTCTTTTTTTTTTTTAATAGAAGATGCAGAGCAGCACACTTAATTCACAACATGTTTTGTGTTCACAAATACCGTCCGCTCTGACGCCACTGCACGCCCACGCAGCCACGCTCACGCTCCGTTCTCCCTGTTTGTACCTGTACGTCGTGCCTCTCGATAGTCCCTGTGGTCTCAGCTTTGCTCATCCAATCGAGCTCCTAATCACGTTACGGTGATCTGCTGATTAACTAAACGACGTGGAATGATTATTGCTGCTGTAGTCGACAGCTGTTGAGCCACATCGGCCTCGCAAAACTCGTGAGAACAAAACTGGGAGCTCCTCTTGTCGTGAAGAAGCCTGCTGAGCCGTGGACTGTTGATTGGAGAGAGACCAAGCGCGTTTTATAATCAAATCATTCTTTTTAGCGTTTTGTTTTTATCATATTAGCCTTTGTTGGTTCTTATTTTTTATGAGTGTTGCTTCTTTTGTTTTTCTGTGTGTCTTTTTGTTGTGTGGCTTTGGTTCTTGTCCATGGCTTCGCTCCATAGATCCCCGTATCGCAGTCCTCTGTCATGGATGACATAGAGGAGTGGCTGTGTGCTGACGTGGTGAGACTTCTTTTATACTTTGATTTATTCCCCCCTCTTTCTCTCTCTTTCCCTACCTTCCATTTGGTTTTCTTTGATAGATCTCATCCATCCATTTCATGCAACTACGCAGATTTTTCTCAAACGTAAAACCGCTGATGACTTGACACAACAGTTTACTATGAGGTCTATTAACACGGCGCTAATGATAACTGACTGGAAACAGCTGCACATTTCTTTTGAGCATGTGGAGGTAATGGAGGGGCTCAGGAAGGTTTATGAGCTACTTCGTGTGTATGTGCCAGCACGTTAACCCTTAACAAGCGGTAGATTTGTGTGAGTGCTTGGTGTAAATTGTCAGATTAATGTGTGGCTAAGATTTGTGTCATTTCTTGAAATGTTATCTTATTTTCTATTTAATAGAAGGGAGATGGCTCTGAGGAAGGGGTAACCAGTGAAGGTACTTTAGGCAAATAAATGCATATTCCCCACAGCACTAGTGTGTTTGTTACACTGACATTTGTGTGTGTTTTTTTTTCAGACTTCGATAAGTTCTTGGAAGAGCGAGTCAAGGCAGCAGACACTCTGCCATCTCCGCCCGGAGCTGCCACTGCTCACCCCGCTCGTGCCTCCAGTGGTTCCCAAAAGAAGGCCGAACGGTCGGAGGATGCCCTCTTCGCCTTGTAGACCGACCTCTCCATCAGGGCGTCTCTAACGGTTGTGCTAAGCAGTTCCCCTCCAGAACGGTCGTGTTTCATCGTCGACTGGAAGTGGTGTAGCAAGTGATCTCCATCTCCTTGTTCTCTTCTTGCCCCTGTCACTCAAACCCACAGAGGTCCAAAATGTTTACCGCACACGTTGCTGTGTTGCGTTTTACTATAAATGGATGTAATAATCTGTAACGTGGGATGTACTACTCGCAGCCCTGCAGCTCATTTGTAACACAAATGTTGACAGCCTCATGTGGTTTAAGAATGTGGTATATTACTGCAAGATGAATGGGGGAAATTTAACTGTCCATGCTTAGACTTGTATAGAAGCATTCAGCTAAAGTGATCTTTTTTTTTATTTGCATTTTTACTACATTCACCTAATTATTTATGCATTTATTATTCTAATAGTTTATTCTGATTATGTACTAAAGTTGTGGTTATGACTGATTCATGATTTTATTTTTGAACTGGAAGTACTCCATTCAGGAGTTCTAGTAATGCTTTAAAAACATGAGTTTAAAAGAAATGCATTTTATTAGAGGACTCACTTTAGCAAACCTATTTTGTTAGTAAAAAAAATGATAATATAGGAAATTGCATCTAATCTTGACACACTAAGCATCAACGGTATTTTACTAAACAAAGGGAATAATAAAACTACGAAATAACATCAAGATCAGTAACATACAGAACAAGCATTATGTTTGAAAGTACTGAAAGGGAAAGAACGCCAGTGTTTCCCCTACCATTACTACGGCCCCGTCAAGAGAACAGAGCACCCTGCCTCAACAACCCCCCCTCCCCCGTCGACAATTGTCAGTATTGATGTAGCGCGGGGCGCAATATAAACGTGCTAGCAAAAATTCTACAGTTGCACAAAAAAACCCCAACAGTACAACAAGCGCCCTGCCAAAGGAAATCTAGGGGAAAAACTGAACACGGTTGTGGATTATGTCCCATTTCTCTTTTCAGTCTTTTGAAAAGTTACGAAAATGAACGGAGAGCTTTTTGCTCTTCATTAACTTTGAGCACTTTCAGCCATTCCAAAGAACATTAAGGCTTTAATTTTTCATTTAGCCTTTATTTATACAGGTAGTCTCATTGAGTCACGAGAACTCATTTTCAAGAGAGACCTAAGGGGTCAAGGGCCTTGCTCATGGGCCCAGAGTGGGGTGAATAAGGGTAGGGGCAAGTGTGGGTGCTTTACCTACCCCGCCCACATTTTTGATGTTGTCGGGGCTTGAACCGGCGATCTTCCGATCACTTCTCTAACCTCTGCGCCACCACTCCCCCAATGACCAACTATAGTATTTATTTTAACTGTTAGGAGAGAAAAAATGCTCCCATACAACAAATAGTTTTTTTTTCTTGACTTTATTATTGTTTGTGCACTTTGAAGCAGAAACAATTGGTATTTTGTCCTTTGTGTTTACAAAATTATTACTATTTTTGCAAAACAGATGGCGACGGAAAGGTTTATTAAGTAGCGTTTTTTTTTTTTGTTTGTTGTTTTTTTTTCCACAAACCCCCATAAAAATTTTGAGATTAGAGCCTTTTGGTCATGGCCCAATTCTGACTAGCCTTTACCACCTCTATCGCTGAGTGGTTCAAAGACCTACAACAGGTAAGATATTTATTCATAACCTTCCACAAAGGAGGTCACAAACTCATTTTCAGTATGAAAACTTTCTGAAGACAAAAAATGGACGTTACCAAACTCAGTAGTTTTAAAATGTATAATCAGGTAGATACTTGCATACTTTTTGCTATATACCTCAAAATGCAAGAATTATTTGGACCTAATAAAAATTATATTGTCCAATATAAATTTGATAAAATGTAAGGAAGCTTAGTTTTTTATTCCCCGATTTGATTTTTGTAGTTTATGTACTTTTCATTGCAGTTTTATAATTGTTTAGTCCAGTTCAAGGCATGATTTCCTTCATGTACTTTGATTGAGATCAAGTTACTGAATTAACAGTTTGGCCAGTTCTCAGTATGGGCATCGATTAAAAAAGAGACACAGTCCTGATTTCTTATTCTTAAGATAGATGCAAACTGTTCATTATCTAAGTAGTCATGATAAATACATGGGTTTTGGTTAAGAAAATGTACTATTGAGCTTTAACGCTGTAATATTATATACAGAACCATATGTTTTATATGGTTGCCACTTGCCAGATTACTCGCATATAATATTTTATTTTTCAATTTGCATTAATGTTGCACATATAACAAAAATTTTTCACAGAGATGTTTTAAAATGGAATTAACTATTTTCTGTGTCTCTGTGTTACGTCTGTAACAGTGTTTTTGTTACCTGCTTTTATGAAGATTGTAAAATCAGAAAGTATTCCACAGAAGTTTTGGCTGCCTGGAAGAACTGAATGTCTTAAAAAAACGACGAGCTGGTGCATCGTTAAGGTCTGGATGTGGAAACGAGGCCGCTTTCTGTTCTTGGGTATGCCATGTCCATCTGCTGCCGTTACTTGTGTATGGTCAGATTTGTGTTTGGCTGACCTTTTTGCACGTGTTTAAAGGCCCAATAAAAGCCTAGCAATGTGTAACCCCTACCTCATAACTCTGTCTTTATTTTTTCTTTGTGTCACGTGACTGCCTGTTTTTAAATGCTCATGCTGATGCAGCCCAGCCTCAATCTTCTGTTTCACCCCACCTACCATGATACGTATGGATTCTTTACTACAACAAAACAAGTCCTGGTCAGGCATAGTTTTAATATAATTCTCTAGTTTTCAGCTGTTTGTGGATCACTGGATTCTGATATTTAGTAAGGAGAAAACTATACTGTACCAATTCTAGAAACAAGCCAACAGCAAAGGGGTTTCAGTGCATTAGGTCAGTGACCCACTTCCCCAAGCTTTGGTCTCCCATTTGACATTTATTTTTAAAGTATATTTTTATTAAAATTAGATGTTTGTGTGGAGGGGAAAATACATTATTTATT